CACTCCTACGACCTCACCTGGAGGTACCACTGAGGCCACAAACCCCACTGGCCCAGGACACTGTTTGATTCTTCTATACCACCTTGGATATTACTCGACGTTTTAATATCGACCCTTGGCCACAATTACCACACCCTAGGGGAGTTGACTACCCATTGGAACCCATACTAAAAGCCGTGCAAGGATACGCCTACCAAAAATACTTCTTACGACCCATTGAATGACAGTCCGGGATTGTTTCTTTTCGGTCTTGTATTCCCCCTTTTGGAGCAACATTTTTGTTTCGGGTTCTTATTTTCTTTGTCATAACATTTTCTTTTATTCACTTACAAAATACTTATTTAAAAAGCGAGGAGTTTTGTCTTTTCGAATATTATGAGGATGGGCGAGATATCAGTTGTAGAAGCATGATGTTTGGCGCATCGAGACTTTTATGGGTGGCAAATTTTTGTTGTCATTTCTGCAGAGACAGAAAGAATGCTTGGAAAGATTGGAGTTGTTGCTTGTCCGATCCTCGTTTATGTTCTTTTCTTACCAGCCCAAGGAAGACCTTATGTTTGTTTGCCGGAAATTCCAGAGGATAATGACTGTTGTTTTTTTACTCCTCGTTTTTGTTATGCTATTACTGTCTGGAAGGCGTCTGTCTTTTGTGATAGAAGCGGGAAGAATGGCCATGGCTTGCACTTGAACTGGATCAGAGATACCTCTTCATTATTTCTATCATGACGGATCGGATGGGGGACTCTTCAAGAAGAGGAGGAAAAGAAGTTGACATGGGACAAGAGTCATATGGACTTGACTTTTGGTTTCAAGCAAAGATTAGAGCGAAGAGGATATGGCTCGATAGCCACAGCGTATATTGCGCAACCATACGTTTACTGAGGGATAGACGGCACCTCGCACAAAAGAGATGCATCTGCCGATCATCCTATGAATGAAAGACCACACACACAATAAGATACCTCACTCATGCAAACAGTCCCAACTTTGCTCTGCCATGTGAATGTGAGTGAACTTGACCGTCTCAACTAACCAACATGATGTCTCAGAAAGACTTAGGAATAGCGTCACGTACTATAGACCCCGGTCTACCGTATCACACTACGGTGCTCCCGCTCAAGCTGCATGTGAGCCGAAGTAGAAAAAAGCAACTTAACCATCCCTGGAACTCATGCACCGTGGGGCGGGCGTTAGCGACGCAACGCTTCCGAGAGCGAGAAAAAAAAGAAAAGAAAAGAAAGGAAAGGGAAAAAAAAACAAGGCGAGAACGTGGCGCCCAATGAGCAGGGATAGTTTAGTTAGGGCGAACGGCATGAGTTTTGGAATGGATGTGTGGAGATTGTTGCAGCGAATTAGATGGGCAGGCAGGAAAAGGTGAGGCGGGCTTGAGGAGGGTAGCGTGATGAGGAGGAGACGATTATTGGGGCGATGGATGAAGGATGAAAGTGATTTTGACTGCTCACAAAGACAAGAACAACGTTGGTGTTGGTGGTGCTGGTTGTGGTGAAGCTATTCGGGGAAATATGAGAGACAACTGATAACATCCAAGTACTGAGAAGTACATAGGATTAACTCCGATACCCTGCTCATAATAAAGTACTTTAGACGCCAGTTAAACTGCCGACCACTCAACGTGAGACAAGCACGGAAATGGAACTCTTCTGCATTGCATCTTCTCAACCCAGTCACTAATAACAGACAGGAATCAATAGTCTGTTTGGCCTCAGTCTCACCGCTATCTAATTAAAAAAAAACCTAAACCTCAAAGACCTCAAAAAAATGTCTCAGGCCCTTGTTTCGAGTAGAGTACCTTAATGCCTGGGCCAGCGTTTACAAGCTTGGGCATCCAAACAGAAAGAAACATCACGGACCACTCGGTGGCATTTCCTCTTCACTCACTGCACGTCAAGGTTCAAATAGCGACTTTTGAGAAATGCGCATGTTGATCACATCTCATTCCCTTGGTTGTTTCCGGGGCAAAAGAGAAAAGGCTAAATAAAAAGCCACCACGAGGCGAGGTTTCGCTTAAAATGCCCAGAAAGTTTAATTAAATCTCGTAAGCCCTTGAAGCAGACGGGAAAGTTTGAAGGTTGGCTTGGTCCTGGAAGAAGCAGGTTTCAGCGCTGGTTGTCGATCATGGTTCGGGGAGTGGGTGTGCGGCACAGCGAACAGCAGCACTAACTAAAGTTAAGAAGAGGCCCGTGGTTCCACGGAGATGATGGCTCATGGGTTCGGGGAGATAGAGCCATTCATTCACTGGAATGTACTCGAAGCGTGGCCTGCACGAGTCTGTAAACTCTGCTGACTTGTCTTGTTACTCAAGTATCACGCCAAGCGCTGAACTATGCCAAGTCTACCTACCACTAAGTAGCACTACAGTTGGCTATTGTTAGTTGAAGGATGGATGGCTGGTTGGTGTTTGCAGTGCTAAATTATCGCTATTGCTAATTAACCCGAGCCAACCCCCTGGCGAGAGAAGGATACAACCTCTCATGATATCTCCAAAGTTGGTAAGCAAGTGTTGTGATCTAGTTGTGAATGATCAGATCCGGTAACCTTCACAACTTCATGATATGACAATGGGCTGTGCACAGGAACCAGTTGCTCAGCTATAGTGACACAACCAAGGCAGCCCCTCGTCAACGCCAACATCTAGAATCTCAACTCGGTCCGAGCTGTAATCGTAGATCCTGCGGCCACAATCTCCCCCCGGATGGCGCCGAACATTACAACCTTCACGATCCAGCCCTTTCCCCGTCAAACTCAAAGCCTCCCTTGGCCTGCAGGATAAAATTAAGCCTCAGCCGCAGCCCAACCCACGATCATCATCATTTCCTCATCTACGCTGTACGACTCATGTCATGTAAGCCAGCCCGCCTGCGGATCTTGTTCTCGGCCTCATCGCACAGATGTTGTCAAGCCAGAAACAGTGTAGTAAGCCTGGGCTTACGGACCGAAACTCTATCAGCCCTCGATAGTTTCCAAGGCGAGGGGGATGTGTCACGTTTCCCCCATAGCCCGCGAGTCAAGCCATTGATCGTCATAGCCCGCTAATTATTAAGTTAACTTCTTTGAGGCTATGCTTGGGGATTTGCAAAAGCTGAAAACACAACAAAACCTGTGGCTGTATCGTGTCATTCTTACATGGCGTTCGGGTGATGTTAACCGTGTTTCACGCGATATTCTTGGTAGAGTTCGGCGGTTCTTGTTGGCTGTGCGCGTTGTAACCCTTCTGCATTGAAGAGACAGCGGCTGGAGGGTTTCGATTTGAGCCACTGAACTCTCGTGAGAAGTGAAACCAACTTAGAATATCCACTTAATTTGATGTTTTGTCGTTGGAGTGGTTGCGGATGAGGGGATGTTCGTCTGTGGCGGTTGAGTTGAGTTTCCAGGGTGCGGGAATAGCTGGGGAATTGTAAGTTTATCTGGAGGTCGGTATCATCTGAAATCAGCCCGTTCTAAGAATATCGTCGAGAGAACAGTGCAAAGAGGGTTGATGAAAGACATCTTCGGTTGGGAGGGAAGTGTGCTTCCGAGTGACATTCTTCTAGCGCCTGACAGTTCGAGCTGGGAAATGCCGTTGCCTTTGTCTTGACAGACACGACTAGCAGATCATACGTTTTTTCGAGTCTATGTTCTTACAATTGGTCGAGTGAATCTTGGCTGCCTGAAGGAGTATACACTAAGGCTTGGAGAGGTGTGAGGTTATTCCCAGACATTCAACTCATGGAAGAAGCCGTGGAACGACACGAACTTGAGACTTGCATAGCCTCAATTACTGCCATATACGCCAAGTCTCAATTGCACCTTCAAAGGTCTTTTGGAGGATTGAGATCCTGTACAGCCCCTCTAAAGGAGAGTCAAGAAAACTTAAGACGTCTATCCTAAGTAACAAAAAAGACTTAGGTGAATTTAGTATAGACTAAGTGGACCTTTAGACAAGTTACCTTTGGTTCCTTGATTCAAGGTTAGGAGTTTTCTTGCTCCTAAGGCTCTCTTGTATATGCTAAGTTGCTCCCCTGAACGAGGCGACAACCACGTAACTCCTTGGTATGAGTTGACCTGCTAGAAGTATCCAAGATTTAGATCAAACCGAAGGTTCCAGTATTCACCATGATCGAAATTGCGGTGATCATGCATGTCTTCATTCTCTTCCGAAGCAATGTCAGAGTGTTACACGCCCACGCGGGCTTAAGACATACTGATCATGAGCATACACAATCGTTCATAGCAACTAAATAAGCAAGACATAAGTCTTGAATTAAAGTATACTTTTTGAAGCATGATTCATACTGTAATACAAGTCTTCTGGCCCTTGAGTGGGTTGCTAATCAACGAGTGTCATGAGAGCTTCGGGGGGGAGGATGGCGACTTGAGTACCACACACAAACAATCCTCCGTAACATTTACGAGCATTGGTATATAGCTTGAAGATTTATCCTAAATAAGCATATTCATCTCATTTTACTTGAGCACTGAGATGCAAATCATGATTCAGAAGAGCTTTCTGGCTATACCTTAACGAAAAGCTCCGGAACATTGAGAGACCACCCGGATATCAGCAGCCCAATGAATTAAGTTTATCGACATCTTCGCCCGCTTGTCTGAGTAAAGACAATTGAAACAGGGGCAAGGACCACACAGGACAATTGAAAAAGCCTCTGTAAGCTAATCTTGGGCATTATTAAATAGGACAACCACCCCTCGTGTCATCTTGGTCCCTTTCACGGACACTGCACCATCGACACCAACCACAGTGCTGGAGCGAGCAGCGGCTTCCTCAGCACACATGTGACAGCAGCAAGATCAAAGCGAAGCCGAGATGGAGAATTGAAGGCAAGCCCATTATGAGTATCATGACAGATCGGACTGGTACTGGGAAAGGCTATTGAGAGTCACGCTCCCGAACTTCAAGAGCGTGATCGGATGACAATTATATGCCCATTACTATCTTCAACGCTTGCTAATACAAGATGATACGCTAATATTATACCGCAGACCTAAGCAGCCAAAACTTCGTGGTCCTCCTCCGACTTTCTGAAAGCATCCTGAAGGGGTATCTCTGCTAACGGCACGACCTTCGTCTTCTTGACAAACTTCCAAATCAAGTACGCTGCAGTAACAAGAGGGATATCCCTGCGACAATATTAGTGTATGAGCTGGTATTTAATCTCAGAAACACTTACAAGTAGGATGATACAAAGCCAACGGGATCCCAGTTACCCCTGGTGAAGACGCGGAAACCGCCCGTGAGTAGGATGAGCAGAGTCATGAACAAACCGGCACAAGAAGAGTAGACTGTGTCAATGTCAACACTCGCCATTTCCCATCAAGTACAGGCCACTTACAAGTCCAAGAGTTGTGCCAGGGCAGGCTTTCGATTGGGATTCCTTGCTTTTTCATCGCAAGGCGCAAACGAATGTGATTCAACAAGATTGACGCCCAGGAAATCAACACTCCCGCCGCAGTCAGGTCGACTAGCCACCAGAAAACAGTCATAGCTCCATTCGAGAGACTCATGAAGCTAAGGAACATGAAGCATGTGAAAAAGAGAACACAAACGTAAGGCACACCCCATGCGGTTGTTCGGAGGAAGACCTGAGGTGCCTGTCGCTTGAGGGCTAGACCGTAGAGAACACGGGTACCGGCTAGAAGACTCTGATTGGAAGCCGACCACGCGGAGGTTATGACGACGGCGTTGACAACGGAGGGAATCGCAGGGATACCGGCCGCCGAGGCTGCGATGACGAAGGGACTTTGCCCTGCGGCTCCAGACTGATCGTTGAGTCTCTCGTCGTCACTCCTGACAAGCATACCGACAATAAGGATGGCTAGGATGTAAAAGACCAGAATTCGAATGAAAACGTTTTTGCAAGCCTTAGGGATCGCACGCGCAGGGTTCCGTGTTTCGGCAGCGGCCATAGCGATAGACTCCACGCCGGCAAAGGAGAAGACAGCGCTGGTCATAACAGACCAATATCCAAGGAACTGGCCCCAGCTCCCCGTAGCGATATATTCGACAAACGGCCCTGGGTCCTTCCAGTATCTGAAGCCAATGCGCTCCGTGCCAGGAACGCCGCCCAAGTTGATGACCAGGCCCAGGATGATGAGGAACACAACCAAGAGGATCTTGAGAAGAGCGAACCAGAACTCAACTTCGCCAAAAACCCGGACGAAACAGAGACCGACGACTGTGGTCAGGACGATGAAGATCATAATCCATAGCGCCGGGTTGATGTCGGTCCAGAACTCGAACAACACACAAATGGCCGTGATCTCTGAGGGAATCGAAAGAATGTTGCCGTAAACCAAATTCCATCCAATTGCGAAACCCCAAGCTGGATCGACAAGAAATTCGGCATGTCGCACAAAAGCTCCTGTCACCGGCAGCAAAGCAGCGACTTCTCCCAAGGCGAATTGAACGGCGCAAACAACCAGACCGACAGTTGCATATCCAAGCAACGCACCGAGAGGGCCACCAGTTTGCACAGACTGGCCAAGACCAAGAAAGAGACCTGTCCCAATAGCGCCAGCGATACCCAGCATAGAAAGATGCCTCTCATGCAGACCGCGCTGAAGGCTCTGCTCCTCAGTAGCCGTTACAAGATCGCCATTGTTGTCGTTCCTCGTCTCCACGCCCATTGACGGGGTTGCCTTTCCACCAGCAAGAATGTCGGCGCTCATCTTGACGCCTCCGATCTGGTAGTAAGAATATTGATAAGGGTTGACCTTGGTCTTGGCGAAGGGAAGCCTTCTTTTTACGAGGCTAGAAATGTCTTATCGACGCCATTACTTGAGCCAATGGTGCAATCTGAGATTGACCGGGGGGGTTCGGGCAGTCAGATACGGATACCGGCAATATTCTTCATGGTTGCGGATTTGATTGCTCTTTTGATCTATGGCGTGGTTGAGGGAGTGGGTTGGGACTCCATTTAATTGGAATTTTGCAAAGTTTAATCCTTCTAGAATCTGGCAATGCTGATCTATCGGTACGCTAAGTTAGATCTACTCCTGCCTACCCTACAACTGCTGAGATATGATCCTCAACATCCTGTTGGAGGAACAGTAATAAGGACACCTGATCGCTACTTGGGTTCGTTCATGGCTGGAAGGCCAAGGAATCGCAGTGCATGAAAGCATGGCGAAATAAGCATTAACCATGGCTTTACTTTGGGCTCTCAATCGCTTATTGTTAGCACTGTTAACGGCACTTATAGACTATCATCAAACATCTGAGTTGAGCTGCGATGAGTGAGAAGTCAACCGATTTCTTTTTACGCAGGAGCATCTCAAGGGCAGGCTTGTAAGGAGGAATAACCGTATGCTATTAACACTATTCTGCTAATGCATATCAGCCCAGAAGCCTTGTTTCATCTCAAAGCTCTGTGACGGCGGTACAAGCAAACAAAGCAATACCTGAAGAAAAACCACGGCGGTAGTGTGATCTCGCTCAAGTGCTTTATCTCGCCAACTCGCCCAACATCAAAAACGTCCACAGGAAACCGAGCACTATCCACAAGAGAACCGAAGTCTTGTGTTTTACGGCATGATTTTCCTCCTCCGTATGCTGAGAAGCAACATACTCAAAGACGGTACTGTCGGGCTTACACCTGATCTCTTTCTGGGGCAGGTCTCCATCGATGAAATATCTGGCTACAATCTCTCGAGTGCACCTGGAAGGATGGGAGATTAATCCATGCTATAAATTTCTGTTAGTATTACCGTCAGTTCAAGACATGGTATTATACTTACACCAACACCTTCGTGAACAACAACCTGGCTTCCAGGAAATCGGGCAGATATCTTCCGGGCATTACCCAAAGGAGTCATTGGATCGTAGGCACCGTTGACGAGAAGGATGGGGGTTTTTGTATGGACTGTTTCAGGGCGATCTAGATTTATCTGCTCGGCTGCGCGTGCCTTCCAATGAACACACGGCAACTGGGTAAGCAGGAACTGGTTAAGAAAAGGGCTATGAACCTCATTGACTCGGTATGAAGAGAAATAATCATCAGGACTTTTAGGGCGAAAAGTTGTGTCACTGCAAAGGATCGCCCAATAGGGGAGGAAAGATTGAGGGTTGTCGAATGCAGATGCGAAGCCGAGAATATTGAGTTCGAAGTTGCACTCATCGTCGTTTAGAAGGGCGCTAATACTCTCGTCCAGTTCATGATACCCTTCAGGACCATAGAGATTGCTGAGAATCGACTTAGTCAACTAGACTGATTGAAAGCTGTGTAAATCACCCCCGATTCCTGTGCAGACCTTGATGATACGATTGAAGACCTCGAGGAAGTCATATCGTTCGGGAAGCTTGCTTGCTGAAGAACATAAACGAGGTCCAGCTGATTTGCATTCGTCGTAGAAATGATACAAGGCCATTTCGGCATCCTTGATACTGTTTTCCCCGAGGGTCTCTACATAGTCGTCGACAAGCAGATTGCCATCAAGCAGCATACGTCCAATACGGTCAGGAAACATATCAGCCAGAACCTGGCCCAGGACCGTGCCGTATGACATGCCCCAGTAGTTGATCTGGTTACCTTCCCCTAATGCGTTGGCAATTTCTGATATGTCTCTGGCTGTGAATGCAGTGCCAAGATATTCCTCACGGCCCGTGGCCTTCGCAAATAAGTATTCGGTAATATTGCGTGCAGATGACCAAGTACCGTACATCCACTTTTGAGACTTGTTGGGCGGCGTCTTTCGGATGATGCTGAGCACCTCTCCCATCATTTTCTCAGGCAATGTTTCACCGCCAAACGGAGGTAGCGTCTCGCCAGTACCCCTGATTCTAGGTTAGATTTGACTCTATTAAGCTTCTTATAGCTGAACTGTCACCTACCGTGGATCAAAACTGATTATGTCGTGGTGTCCACCAACGATGTTAGCCAAGTTGTGTCCATCCGTCAACAATAACTCTCTTCCAGAAACGCCGGGACCACCAGGGTTCACAATGATGCTGCCTTTGAATGGGGTTTTGCTGGCACTGAGCTTGATTAAACTCAATGTGGTAGTATTTTTGTTATATTTGTCGGTATAGTCGAGAGGAACAGATAGAGTAGCGCACTTGTATATATCAAAGCCGCACGGGAGCCAGTTGATGCCAGCCACGGGAATGTGGCAATCTTCGAAGATCTCAAGAAGGTCATCTTGGGGTAGAATTGTAGCGTATGTGAATTGTAGGGATAGGGGGATGGGAATAATGTTTATGAGCTTCATGTTGGATAGGGTGATAATGTGATGCTGAGGGGGTGGTTATACTGAATAACGGTAGCACGTCGATGGAAACAGTTGAACTGCAAACGAGAGAATGATCTGGGAGTTGTCTGTAAAGGTTCAACTTGTTACCAAGGTGCCTTGGTTGAAGTTATTTGACACCCAGGATGACAATGATGGAAGGGGTCAACGACGAGTTGCGTCAGTCGCGACGATGAGGTCGGAATGAGTTGCACGCTCTAACTCCTCTGTTGCCTTGAACCCGTTGGGGAGTTGCGACCGCGGCTCTCAAAAAGCAGCCCCTGAGGTTTGAAGCATTTGAAAGCATCAGACATTTTACACAAGTGGATTAAACTCAGACTGAGACAGATGACAATGACACGGAATGATCGAAAGTAAAAGATTGAAGATTCTCTTAATGAGGATTCATACAAATACGAGGAATCGGCTCGGCACATGCTTTATAAAATGTGCTTATGACGAATCCCCCTTCCGCTATAATTCATTCGATATCGTACCAATACCATTGACATCTGGCGGTAGGCATGGCCGGTTCCAAGCTACTTCCATTTTTAAGTGAAGGAGGGATCAGATCTGGAACTGGAACCTCGATTTCACAGCTGTCGGTCATGCATGTAATATTACGAAGCCTGAGCCGGGATCAAGGAGAAGAAACTCAGGGGCCAAGCACATCTTTCACCTCCAGCTGTGGAACATTCTTCACTCACTACAAGCCAACTAATGATTTATAATCCCATTGCAGTCTCTTTGTCACCCTGTATTCAGAGAATTAAACTTCCTTCCCCTCTAGTCTACGTGTTATAGCAAAGGACCCTGGCACGTATTTGTGTCCCGACTAAGAACAGAGCCATAGTGTCTCTTGATTGTCGCCCAACACCTTCAATGAGTCTAGAATAAAGGGATGAAATACTTGATTCATTCTGAGACGAATGTATATGCTTGCTGAAGGCCGAAATTGAAGATTTCATCAAGCCCTGCTGCACCAATGAGCGCTCATGTGTCATTTCTGTTAAGAAGTGTGATAGCCATTAACCATCGTAGCTTATGAGAAATTCTTGAACCAGTCTTTTCCAGAGAAATAAAGTCAATAAAATGATAGCCTTCCATGAAGAACCAGCAAGTCATGTATTGCAGCGCTTGAGTCGCAAGCTCGCCCTTGCATACAAACTTTTGCGAAGCTTGATCCGAAACCCAGGGTATTGCAAAACCAGTGAGCGAATAGACTTTGCCCCCGGAATTCTCCAACCACTTAACTCCTTGAGCTTCCACAACTCCTTTCAAGGACAGAGTTGAAAGAATAAAAAATCTCGACAATGCAATTGAATACAGTAGAAAATGCCAGCCTTGGAGGCCACGAACCAAAGACTGCAGGGAGAATACATGTTGCATGGTTCAAACCGAAGGCTCATCATCATACGACCAAAGTATACCCTGATAAGACTCCCCATCCAAGGGCCTTGAATCCTCTGCTTCGTTATTGAAGGCCATATGAAGCCCACTGCCTAATGTGAAAACGCAACATGACCTGCGACATACTGTTAGCTTGCGGAATTATACCAAGTCAGGGGGTTATACGTACACGGCAGATGAGACGCCAAGGAATGCCTTTACGCAGCTAACAAGCCCCCCGAAGGGACAAAAGCAAAGACCCATGATTGGCTGTGTTATGAGTTTATGAGAAGATTGGAGAGGTTCGACAGTGAAGTGGCCGAAAGTCCGTTGCAAGGGCTTGGACGAGAAACGCCGGTGTAGATGAGTTCGGGTTTCGAGAGTAATCGTGAAAAGGATTTATGTGTTCAAGAGAGCGCTGCTCAGAATGAAGAAAGATGTACGAGGTTTTATACTCACCTGGAGCCTGAAGGTAAAGAAAGGTTTTGTGCCATAGGAGAAAAAAGGTTTCACAACAAAGTTCTGAAGATATTCATGTTCAACAACGGGATGGCAAATTGGATCAAACTTTTCACTCTGTCCATAAATGACCGCAACTACATACAGAATCGACTGAGTCAACGCGAGATTCACGGATATGTCTACCAAAGAGTCATAAAGCACACGCACAATGGGAAGAAAGTAGAAGAGCAACTCTGTTCGAAGGTTCTGGCGTGTCTTCCTATGCTGTCTTGCATCCTGAAATGCCGATTATCCAGAGCGCCGAGCCTGTTTACAATAGAAAAGCTAGGGACAGAACCTCTCCTCTGTTGTAGAAAAAGAGTTCATGAGCCATGGCTCCGTACGCTGAAGATGCATCTAATGCTCCGTTCAAAGTCTTGCGGATCTCCCAGTCTATCCACCGAACGCCCCTAAGCGTAACTCTGACCCTCGCTATGCTATCAACGAAAGACAAAACAAAACGATAAAAAAGTCAAATAAAAAAGGCCGTGGTCTCATCCAACCAGTATCATGTATGGTCAAGAAGAAACTCTGTGTTGTCCAAATTACTCACGATGCTCGTGAGATTCATGAGACTCGTGAGACTGGGTGATAGTCTCAGCGCCCAACGACTTCTCTGTCGGCAAGACAATAGCTCGGTCCAAGGCATAGGGAAGTCCACGATGGCGTCCGCGAATCATCATGGCACAGATGATGAGTTTACTAAAAGTCGTAAACTTGGTGCAAAAAGACGAATTGATGCTAGGATATCCTAAACTCAAGCCGACATTACAACTATGTCACGGTTAGCTCTGTTAATGACGAAGAGGTCATCCTTACTATGCTGAAACGCCCTCAAACAGCATCGGCCACATTGTAAATGCCTATAATAGTAAGCGATGTATCCGATACCTTATGGAGCTATACTCACTGGATCATTGCCGTCCATGATCTTCTTGTGCTCAGCAATAGAGATACACAAAAGCCCAAGACAGATATACCACAAATCGAAACTCAGCTGGTTCCGGAGATGGGTTACAAAATATGAGCCGCCATCCTCCTCATCATATTGTAGACTATTTTCGTAGATGCCCAAAGAGCGCTCCTCATAGGTGTTTGAAGATCGAACGACGATAGAGATTGGGTAGACGGAGATGTACATCATGACGAGCAAAGCCATTTGCACAGCCGGGTTAACATTGGCAAGGTTGAAACTGGCTGTACCGGTGTGCCGAGAACTAACAGCCTGAAACACGGCGGCGCAGAACCTCTGCCACCCGGGAAGTACTGTCACAGTCGAGTTGTCTAGGTCAAGGAGAATGATGAATAGGACATCAACGAGATTGAGGAGGGCAAGAATTCCAAAAAGCGCCCAGGTCGGCCCGCTGGGGAAAAGTAGGGTATAACATCGCCGCGGGTGATTGAGAAGAAAGTGTAGCGGCTCTTGAAGGGAGGACTGTTTCGAGACGGCCTTCGAGGTAGCCCAAATAACAAGACGGAGAAAGACAGGGTAGAAGGTGTGGCCAGCGAGGGCAAGGGCGCTCATGATGAGAAGGGGAGCTGGGGCGTCATTAAAAGATATCATTGAGTCAGGAGTCAAGGTAAAACCCAAGTTGGTGACCATGGTTTGAGCAGAGTAGACTGCCCTAGATAAACGGTGAGAAGGACAGAAGCCATAACCCAAGAGGAAACTCACCACCAAATTCGATTTTGCCCACACTTGTCAATGTAGTCAACGTACTTGCTGGGAGCATGCTGAACCCATCCTATCAAACAGACAGCCCCGAGGCAGTGAAGAAAAACATAGTAGCCTGTAGATATCAACAGGTTGTCCCTGGCCAATCGCCCGAAGACTTACCAATGATGATCTTGAGTAGTAGTTTCAAGCTTTTGTACTCGATACCACCCAGCTCCTCCCGGTCGTTTGACGACAAGTTGTGAAAGATGGAGTTACGCCCGATGGTAACCTCACGAGATAAACGGGGAAAGTCTCCCACGGCAAGTGTTGGTGCCCTGGCTAGCGGACGCTCCTTGGGCCCTTGGGCAGGGTTGCCAATGACAAAGAGTGACGAAGCTACGGTAGCGACGCGCTCGACAGAACGGACCTGGGCCAGACTAAGGCCAGCGCTGCGTCTACGGCGAAGGGTACCAACAGGGGTGGACTGAGTTCGCGAAATAGGTTCGATGACATCTTCTAGAAGGAGGGTTTAGCTCACATCACATGCAATACATACAGAAACAGACAGGGGTCGTACCATCTCGAGTATCTCGACTGAATCGTCGTTCGGTATTTAGCTCGACAAAAGGAAGGCCTGGATATGTCAGTTGGTACGAGAAAAGGAGCGAATAGTGGCGTACCTTGGTCTCGAGCGCGAGGGCCGGGGATGTAGAGAGTTGATTCCTGCTGCTCATGACGAGGATGGTGATCGGTCGAAGGATCAAAAGTGATTCTTGTTTCGTGCTGGTCTCCCTCTTTCACCTTTTCTTCCTTAATTGTGGGTGAAAGAATCTCTACCGGCCGTTGGGGTGGATGATCAGGAGCTGGATCTGTCCGACTCCGAGCCTCGATCGGCGGCAGTGCATCCTGCTCCGCGACATTCTTATGAAAGCGTTCTGTGACAGATCGTGCAAGTCCCGGTCTTCTGTCAAGTACTTCCGAAAGAGGATTATCAGCTGCAATCTCCGGGTCCTCCTTAGGATCTAGGTCCACTGGTCTGCGTCTGCTGAGTAGAGCAGGAGCTATTTGGCGAAACGTCAGCAATGGCCGATACGTACAAGCGAGAACGAACTGACCAGCATTCTTGAGGTATCTTCGGAACCAGATAAGGCGCACAACCACAACTATGATATTGATTGTGACAGTGTTGCAAACCAGGGGGACGAAGTACAGAAACAGCTGCTGGTACGTCTTCAGTACAGGAACATCGACTCTGTGATGAAAACGGTTAGCACCGTTGAAGCCTACAAGTGTTCCAGAAAGTGGCTCACGTAGTTAAACCGGTAACGGTCGAGGCGCTAACGCCAAAGAAATAGGCATCGATTGCACTCAGCTTGCCATTCGGATAGATGAACAAGAAGCTCGACAAACCCATGCAGATGATGTAGATGTCTACGTGCCGCCGAGTAGCGTTGTCAGCCGCATCCTATCACCGCCTTGCCACTCAGAACGGCACTCACAATGTAGTTTAACAAAATTGAGATTTGGGCGCCACATGTTCGTCTGTTTGGCGTTAAAACGCCGAAGACGATGCCCTAGTGAGAAGGTGTTTCAGGGTCGTTTGCAAGTCGAGCGGGCGTAAAGTCTGGAGGTTCTGTGCCGTTTTCCGAGGAAAGTGAGTGAACAGGTTGCAGACCAACTCGTTTGAGCAAGAAGAGAGTGCGAGCAGGCAGTGTTTGAGCGAATTATTGCCAAGCCGAGGAGCCGGGATGCCAGCTATGAAGGCATTTGCAATAGCGGAAGTGGTGCATGAACAATAGGACCAGGCTAGCTAACGTAGTGGCTGTAGGTGGCCACCACAATTTAGTGGGAATAGACGGAACATTGTCATGGTATTGTTAAGAAAGAACCTCTGCTGTCCGGGGTAGTATCCGGTAGTCATCGAGCACGGCCGATAGGAAGCGCAGCTACATGCTTTTCCTGACAGGGGAATGGCGGTAAGGGACCCTGAGGGTACCATAGAGGAGGCCTCGCGATACGTGATTTGGCTGATATAACGTCACTTGCAGGCCGTTTCAATGAGCGAGCAGTTGGGTGCGTGCTTTGTTTGATGACTCCCTGATTGGGCTTTAGGCGGTGGCAGTGTAAGACTAGCTGGGTCTGCATCACATGCCTAAACCTATGGGGGTAAAGAGATAACTTTATAGCGGATACAGTTGTAGGGAGGTGTCTCTAGCGCTGTTGTTTAATTGAACGCATCGTATCTTCTGTCAGCTTGGTGCATCAACACATTGGAGGGTCGCTATCCCTCGGGGAGTAAACCTAAGCTTGAGTGCCAAAAATAATTAGTCTAAAGGTCTGCTAAGTCTATACTAAGTTTACCTAAGTTTAACTAAGTCTTTTTTGTCATTTAGGATACAGGTCCTAAGTTTTCTTGCCCCCCTTGGCTATTGAGTAACTGTCCCAATGGAGTGCAATGTGAAGATGCACAGGACGTGGATATGAATACGAGGCTGGGTAATATTCGTGCCTGAGTCATGCTGCTTCTGTCATCCATGTCTTGAAACCTCGAAAACAAATCTCAATACTGAAACATCAAGATTCGAATTGAGGTTGAGATGATCAAGCAAGATTAAAAATTGGATGTTAACGCCAAGCTCAAATGCCAAGCGCCAAGATCAGATCAACTGCAAGTGCTCGCGCGAACAGACAGGGAAGACACATTATGTCATCCGTCATCGAAAAGTGGAGAAACACTCTAATCGCGGTCACCAAGCGCGTCGCAACACGAGCTTTGGCTTGTCATCATGCAAATCGAGTAAACAACAAAACAAAATTCAACCTCAATTTTCTTTCTCTTCTTGACAGTTCAATCTCTTATCAATGACCCATCTACAGCTTCAACTCTAGCAATGGATTATAACTTTGGCCAGGACGCCCCCTCCGGCTCTGGCTCCGGCTCCTCAAATTGGCTTGGGTTTGGTCAGCGCGTCACAGTCGCTTCTTCGTCGCCTGGTGTGCCCAACACCATGCCCGAGGCTGATGATGCTTCTTTCGCCGAATCATATCGCCCAGAGGCTTCTCCTTTATTCAATCCTCTTTTCATGCCCCGAAATCCGGCTCCTGAAGGCGCACTCTCGACTGGTTTAAGCCCTGGTCCTCCTCCTAGCTGGCCCTGGCAGCGCGATGCAACCTTCAACAGCGACGGCCTCGAGTCCCCCGATGTCTCTGCTCTCCCTGAGCAGCCTTCGCGTTATTCTGAGTCGCCTGAAAATGATGCGCCACAAGAATCCGCTACCGTTGAGGAACCCACCGGTGCGCATCATATTACTTCCCCCGAACGCGCCCCATTCTCGCCGTTGCAAGAATCTGCTGCACGTACGCAAGAGAACTCGATCATTCAGTCAAATCTCACTGAGGAAGTGATCGCGGAAGCAGGCGTTGATCCCGAGTCAATTGTAGAGGAGTCACGCGTTGAGATTCATGAGCATACCGAGACCATTGTCCAGTCCTCAGAAAAGGAGCCTGAAGAATTACCTTCTCAACAAGAACTTGACAATGTTGTCGAAAATGGCGAAGCCGATCGCGTTGAGGAAACACCCACCCAGACACCTATTGAGCAAGCGGCCGACGACAATGAGGCCACCGATGGCCAACAAACCCCAGCACAAGATCAATCCAAATCACCAGAGACCACCTCGGCCCCTGCCACAGGGCCTAGTTCGCTTAAGAACGCATTGCTTTCGGTTGGCAGAGGTATCATGAAGCGTATGTCAGCGCCGCCTCCTGCATTCGTGGCGACGCCTCAACCAGATGACTCTCAGAATCGAAGAGCTACCTCGACACAATTAGAACAACAGACCGAAAGAGCTGGTTCCACTCCCTCCCTAGTCGTTGAGCTGAAATCAATAACACAGCCTGAAAAGGCAACATTCGCTTCCCAAGCTCCTGCGCCTGAGGATGAACCGTCGCTCGCCGAAGAACAGGCGCCAGCATCTGCAAAGCGAAGCCGACGAAGCACACAAGGGGTTGCCGAAGAGGCTTTGGGGTCTGCTACAAAACCGACTCGTGGCCGTCGAAGCGTTGCTTCTGCGCCAGCATCCCCCGCGATTAAGAACGCTCCTTCATCAGCTCTGAAACAGGCCCGCAAGTCCATGCCTGCAAGTGTTCTCGCGGATCAGACCCCTAAAAAGCGAGGACGCCCACGAAAGAGCGACGCTGTAGCCACTCCAGCCGCGCCCCCAAGCACCGCAAAGAGAGGCCGACCCAGAAAGTCGGATGCCACTCCAATCACTGTCCCTAGCGCATCAAAGCCCTTATCTGCTAGAGGCCGTCGCGTTGCCAGTGCTAGCAAGGCTGTAACGACACCTCGAAGAACTACCACAGCTCGGACTCCCAAGACAGCAATTGGACTTCGTGCCGCAGCGACTCCTACGACAACACCAAGGCCACGTGGCAGGCCACCGAAGAATCCTCCTCAACCAACAGAAGAAGAAAAAGAAGAAGCCGAACCAGAAGTGGAAGCGCCCAAGCGTGCTGGTCGGGCAAAGCGAGGTGGCGATTCGACTGATGATGCTCTTGTCACAAAGAAAAGCACACGCACAGTCAAGCCACGCGCAGTTCGCTCTCCAGCCAAACGAGGGCGAGCTACAAGAAAGGCTGCTGCTGCTCCTGCTCCAGCTGAGAAAGCTGAACCAGTCACAAAACGTGGTCGCCGAACTGCAGCTGCGCCCAAAGAAGAAGCGCCTGCAGTAGCTCCCAAGAAACGTGGTCGCCCTGCTGCTAAGGCTGAGGCGCCAGCAGCTGAGGAGTCTGCTCCAGAGCCCAAGACACGAAAGCGAGGTCGCGCTGCAGCTGCCGAGGACACCGCGGCTGAAGAACCGGCGCCCAAGAGACGTGGCCGTGTTGCCAAGTCTGCCCCGGAGGAAAAGCCAGCACCGGCTCCCAAGCGACGTGGAAGGGCGGCTGCCTCAAAGGCTGTCGAAGAGGCCGTTGCTGAGCCTGCACCCACAAAGAAGCGTGGAGCAGCCAAGACAGCTACCAAGTTAGCTGAGAATGCTGCATCTGGACCCGAGCTGGCCCCCAAGAAGCGGGGACGCGCAGCTGCTTCATCAAAGGCCACCGAAGATGTCCCTGCTGAGACTACCACTACAAAGCGTGGCCGTTCCAAGCGAACAGCACCCGAGCCCGAGCCCGAGCCCGAGCCCGAGCCCGAGCCCGAGCCCGAGCCCGAGCCCGAGCCGGAGGCTGACGCACCTAAGCCTGCGACCAAGAAGCGTCGCACAACACGCAAAGCCGAGGAGCCAGTTGAGGAACCTAGCAAACCTACAGGCCGAAAGACAGGACGGCCTGCAAAGGCTGCCAAAGAAGTTGTGGAAGTGCCCGCACCCAAGCGTGGCAAGTCTATTCGCCCCAAGGTCGCCGAACCTGAAGAACAAAAGCCTGCTGCGAAGCCTCGTGGTCGAGCTGCCGCGAAGAAGGCACCAGAACCCGCTGTCAAGGCCGAGGCTGAGGCCGAACCAGAGAAGCCCAAGGCTCGTGGACGGCCCGCAAAGGGAAAGGCTGGAAAGGGCGAGCTTCCAAGCTCAAAGGCTGCTGAAGCTCCCGCCCCGAAGCGAGGACGAGGAGCAGCCAAAGCTACAGCCACCAAGGCCAAGGGTTCTGCTCCCACAGGCGTGACCAAGACGGGCAGAGCAGCACAAACTGGGGTCCGAAGAGGACTGCGATCAAGGGGCTGAATTAATGTCTGATATATAAATGTAAAAGTTTTGTTTGGGCGATCAAGGATGGTAGGATGGACATTTGTTTTTGTGCTTATTGTAGATTACGGTATTCGGAATGATCAGGCGCGGGTTGGGAAGGGTATTACGATAACACTTGTACGGAGTACATGGAATAGCAACAAGTTCACATATCGGTTCATTTGAGATCAAACTGCTAAAAAAAAACCGCAATATTCCCATTGATTTGTATTAAAGCACAGCATCGCAACAAAATAGAACCATCAACAAACAGACTGGTATCTTGAAAACAAAACAAAAGAAACACCAAATCACTCGTAAAGATCCTTATCAACATCCCCGTCCTTGTTCGAATGCGGGCTTGTCACCTTGATACCATTTTCCAATCGTGACAGCGTCATAATATACCCCTTGTGATCGCACCAGCTGCGCACCATCTTGACAGCCGTCTTGATCTCTCGTCCATTGAGTTGCCAGAGCGACAACTCTGCAATATCCTCGTCATCAAGCGGCTTGTCTTCATAGGTTGCGGTGATCTCGCCTCCGGCATCTTCATCGGTGCCGTCGTTCCTAGGCGTGGTGGAGCCCGTGGCAGGAGATTCGTCCGTGACATCTGTGATGCGGTTGCTGTCAGGCAGACGTTGAAGGAACTTGCGCCAAACGGTCTCACGAGCCTCACGGGTGAGAGACTTGAAGAGGAGGTGCAAGCTGACTCGGCTGCGGAACGCAGTATCAATGGTATGGTACAAGTTGGTCGTAAGGAAGATGATGCCACGATAGTATTCAAGCTCGCGAAGGAAGATGCTGACGAGCTCATTGCGATGAATGTCGTTGGGGTTGCGCTCTGCCATGAAGACGTCTGCTTCGTCAAGCAAGATGACGGCGTTCCACTCGGTAGCCATTTCAAACACTCGCTTGATGTTGGCACCCAGGGCGGCAGCATTAATGCCCAGGTCCTCGGCTTGCAAGTAGAAAAGAGGACGATGGGTGCGATCTGCAATCGCTTCGGCCATGAGGGTTTTTCCTGTACCAGGAGGACCAGACAGAAGCATGATGAGACCTTGGCCCTTGCCGACAATCACGTCTTCCATAGCCGTTTTGGCGCCGTTGGCAAGGCTGTGATTCTCGACGAACGACAAAACTAAATCCTTTTGTTGTTCGTCAAACACGAGGTGGGAATAAGCTGCATCATTCCAGACAATTGGCTCAAGATCCTCAATGTAGAAATAAACTATAAACTGTTAGCAAAAGCACAAAGCATCAAACAAGAGTGACCTTACCCCAGAGCTTGTTCTTCAAGGCGTATCCACCGATCAACTCGGTCATGAAAGCAAGCTCTTTAGGCTTCTGGAGAAGCTCTTCTCTGTTCTTGGTCTGATCCTCCTCATTGAGCCTCTTCTGTTGTGTCTTGGGATGTTTGCCTTCAGGCTTGGCGTCGGCGAGATCCTGTCTACGGCGGCGGCGCGATACATCGACCACCTCAATCTCTGGGTCCTTATTTTCGCGCTTTCCTTGGGCAAGGTGGTATTTGTTATATCCGACCACGTCGACTAGGATACGGCACTCCACGTTATGCTTTTCCACGCCAGTTTCTCCCGGGTGCAGAGCAATGCCGTTGTATGAACAATACGTCAAGCCCTGCAGGTCAAGAACTTTGCGACCCCGCGACACCAGACGCTGTTCAATAGCATCTTTTTCTGGATGCCTTTCGAAGGGGTAATGGCGAAGGTCGCGAATGGGCTTGTTTCCAGCGAACTCGTTGATCGTAAGCGACTTCTTCCTCCAGATGAACTCCTCGCCATTGAAAGCCATGACTTTGGCCGTCAAGACGAGCTGCATGACACCTTCGTTGGTGTCGTACTCCGTACCATCCACCTTTGCAATGAACTCAGAGTTCATTCCATAGCTGTAGGCTGTAGAGTCTCTCGGAAAGAGGGTCCAAGCTGTTCGGAAGTCAATGAGTCCCTTGTCAAGCAAATTTCGTCGCTTGACCTTGAGATCGCGGAAGATCTCATCAAGGACTCTGAGGAACAGTTGCAGATATCCCTTCAGCGGATCGTCCTGCTTGGTATTGCGATACAAGTCTCGAATCTCATCTTGACAGAACCACAGAGGGCGGAAAGGCTCTTTGAAGACGGCGGTATCATGGACATCGAGATGGAGGTTCTCCTTCTTCAGGATAGGCTCGATTGCGCTGACGAGAAGAGGGTTCTGGACATCGACTTGGTGGTACTTGAGAGGGTATCGGTTCGAGATAGCGCCCTTCTGGATGTCTTTGATCTTGTACACCTTGATGGCAACACGATCTCGAGCCTTGGCAATGGCCTTTGACACTTGCTTGGGGGGAAGTCTTGCCAGTCCCAATCATTTCTCACAGGGTCCGAGTTCTTCCCCTCGTAGAGGGTTTGTATGACGGTGTCGGCACCAAACGTGGGATCTTTGTTGTTAATCTCCTCGGGCTCCTCCTCCTTGTACTCCTTCTCAAGATCAAGTGGCTCATCGAGAGGAGATTTCTTGCGGTGGAGAAGTTTGTACTTCCATTTCCATGTCATGTCAGAAATGTTTTCGCCAACGTTTTCGAGCATCCTGAATCGAGATCTTCTGGCGTATGGGATGATGGAGGAGGAAGAGGATGATGAACTGGTGGAGAATGAGTATCGTCTGGGAGGAGGAGGAAGGCGGGTCATATTTGACGATGGATGAGGTGCCTGATTAAAGTTCAAAAACGTCCTAGCAGGGAAGAGAAAGAAGATAAAAAAAAGCCTGGGCTTAGAGTGTAGATCTAGCGCCAGTAAATCACAGTAAATACAGCCGACCTTTGGCTCCCAAGGACAGGATTGGCAGGGATGGGATCCAACCCGATAGCTTAGGACCTGCTGTTGCCTGGTGCCATTGCTGCCTCACCGTTGGCCTTGACGCCATTGTCAGCCATTGACTGCAGCAACAGGTGAAGCTGCATGCACAGGTACATGTAAAGGCAGTCCGCAAAAAGGCGTCTTGATTGTTGGGGAAAGGCACAGCCATGACCCGCCTCAATTGCAGTTTGATAGACCTCTGACTGGTCAATACTTTGAAAGACGGGAGGTAAATAATAAGAAAGTGATGCCTATCAATGCATGGTTGTTGGTTGGTGTTACATGCATCTTTTGAAACATTGATGTCAATGGCTAGAATCAAAGTGAGGTGATGTTTGCCGTCCATCCATCCATCCCTTGGCCTAGGACTTACAGCTTAGAAGCCCCTGTGGGGGCCCCTGTAAGTCCTGACTCCTCCCCGGACCCGCTAAGGGAGCTTGGGCCTCTGCCTAATATGGCCCCACTTAGCAAGTGCAGGTAGCTGAAAGAAAAGAGGCCTCAAGATGATCAAACTGACCGTGACAATCAGGCTTATGCTTCGGAAGATACCTGTGTTATTTTGTCTAAGGCTCATGGATTTTCAGCCCTACTTCGCCCAGCTCCCGTACAAGGCACCCACATGCGATAGTCCAGGAGGCTCAACACTAGGCACTTTACGAGGCAGCATCATATCGTCAAGGACAGGAAGTGAGATTTCTTGCTCCATGTGAGGAAAAGAAAGTTCCCAGACTTATGTCGTGTGCTACTATAGCCAAGTCTTATTCGCTAGTCTACTGATACGATACTGTTGATGGTTGTCCGTGTAACATCACCTGCAACTCAAACGAGACGCAGAGTTTGGATTGACTTCTCCAGTGCACGTGTTCCACGCAAGCAATTGACTTTCATAGTATGGATAACAGAGTTTAATGGGAGGGAAAACGGTGACAGACGCTGGATTCGCTGGCTGGCAATGGCATCTCTTTGTCGCTTCTCTGTGATCGATGTTCATTAGATACAATAACTGAGTAGAATTCAACAAGCGGGTTTAGCTCAGTTGGGAGAGCGTCAGACTGAAGTAAAACTTCAATCAATTGATATCTGAAGGTCATGTGTTCGATCCACATAAACCGCATGTTTCTTTTTTTGGTGTCTGGCACGATAAGAAGTGGGGAAAGGAGGAAGGACCTGGAGACATGAAGTCGAAACGTGAACATGGACCGACACGCTCTTGCATTATTTTCGCTGTTAGTTGTTGGTAGGGAAGACAGCACTTCCTTCTTCTTTATTTCTCCCAGTGCAGACATTCATTGTCTTCATCTGCGTTTCTATCTTGTTCTGCCGACCGTTACTGCTTTACGATTCTAGAGTGTTGATAATGACGAAGACCGCAGCCAAGTTCCAGTACACCAATGTCAATATTGAATACTAGGTAGCACTCATACTTCTTTTTTGTTGGATTGTTACTCGAAATCTTTGGCAATATCGATCAAGGTTCTCTTGGGTTCGGCACCTCCACGTCACAGACGACATGCTTCCCAGAAGTGGCCTTTGCTTGACTGACTTACCTGCGACGTCCGTTGGTCCACAATTGCATGGGCAATGATAACCAGCGCAGGCTCGAACTTCATTGTCTCCCCGACCTCACCAAGTCGCCGAGTCCTTTGGCAGCCAGACCTTTCTAAGAAGCACAATGCCTGCCAAGCTACGGAGCTACAGAGGCATATTTCGTCATAAACAGTGTCTCGAATAGACAGAACTCTCGAGTCCAACGGCTTTTGTGATGCGGGAGGCCCAATGCAATTCTGATAGCTATACTGGCATCCTGGACATGGGCAAATCTCGAGGTCATAGGTTCTGATCAAAGCCTTGCGTATGTGACAGTTCTGATATCCACTAATCCTGCAAGGAAATGGCTAAATAAATGTCTATCGATGAATGTCACCGAGACTAGCGTATATCCCCCGGAGATATTGGCGAGACTTCCTCAGGCCAGCACTCGGAAACTCGAGTAGTTATCCTTCAGTTCGTTCTCGTGATGTCGAATCGACCTCTCTAATCGAGGAAGAAGCCACGGATGGAGAGAGAAGCAACTCGACAACTCATGTCAATTTTGAAGATACTCTCAAGCGTTGGAACGAGGCCGAAGACAGCATGGAAAAACTTGGATCCACGATGAAGCTGACTTCGTATGCATCCATTCCCATAGATGCGTTGACTACAACCCAGAGGGGCTTTGGTCTGAATTGTCTATCACTGTCTCGACATGAATTATTTAATGAACCTCATACACGATGGAAGTCATCAAAAATTTTCTCTGGACGACTTGCCATCCTTGCCATGGCTGATATTCATCCTGCCCCCACAAGCCCGAAGCTGAACTTGCCCCAATGTTCAGCAAGTCTTCTGTTCTCTGCCATAGAAATTGTGGGCATACGTCTAGAAAACATGTGGTTGTTTTGTTTGCCGCAAGGGCGATTGGGTAATGGTCTTTATTCCCAGACCAAAGGACTGACAGCTGTGAAACCTCACGCACGATTCCGCAGAGGTACATACATTGGAAGAAGTTGAGCAAATAATTTGCAACAGCTCGCCCAGTGGCGGGTCAGTGCGGTCTTGGGGATGGCGTTGTGATGCTCACCCGGAGCTGGGAAGTCACTGGGCGCCAGACAAGGACAAATGCCGAAGAAGGCATGGGATATCATGGCTCTTCGAACACGGTGCAAGAGATCGCGCAGAGAGTTCTGTCATGAAGCTCAGGATGCACAATCGGCAGTGCAGGGTTGTTTACCTAGGCGGAGATCGTAGAATGTATAATAGGGTCTTGAGAGCCTGAACTTACAGAAATCTAGGGTGACACTCAACGGCAAGATGCCGCATCTCTTTCTTGAAGCATACACCGCTTGTCTATGGCATCAAATCATTCACCAGGCCTGATTCACGGTCACTGAAGCTGAAGCCCGATATCATCAGCCGATATCAAACGATGCATGCCTAGCAGCTGCTTGCCAGTGTTACAATTCAGACACAGACAGCGTAGGCCACCAAGCAGCCATATCATCGAGGCACACATCAAATCGCAAACTCGAAATTCGCTCCTACAAATAATGTTCCTTCACCGATCCAACTCTACTTGACCGCAATTTGAGTTATTGTCTGACAGCAGGCACTTCTACATCTTCTGCGCAGCTACCCGAGGGCCACGGCTACAAACCGAGTGCTTCAACCACCGCGATGTGAAATGTTTGGTGACCGCAAATTCATCATATAACTCAGTCTTGTTCTAACTTCTTTTTACTTGTTCACTTTCTTTGATCGTTCACTATTGTTTCTATTCGGCACCCCGCTTCACACACCGGCTTCTATGAATGAAGACGGGATGAGTGAATAGAAACGACCACTACCATTGTTCAACGATATTTTTGCTGTTCACGGACCATTCAATTACGACAATAGGCAATCTCAAGTCTCAAATAAGGAAGACTATAAATTGTTCTTCGCTTCTACTAGCTTTCGAATTTCGATTCTCATCATCTCACTCAACTCTCCTCTACTTTACCCTACTTTATCGACACTTTTCCAGCACATCAGAATTACTCATCTTCAACTCAACTTCACCTCCGGTTCCATCTTGACTATTCTTCAAGATGGAAACGCCTCCCACTCCAGCCACTCGGGAGAGTTCCAGCAGCCCTGATCTTGACGTTACTCCTCCGCCTCCTGAGCAGAGCAGCCCATTCACAAGACCTAGCACTATAAACACAGGCTCCGAAGTCAAGAACAAATCACACATGCCGTTCTCACAGGTTGCTGGTGAATCACCCAGTCTCCGCAAGGATCGAGGTCCTCTCCCCCAGGCCAACCTAAACGCTGTCATTGAGGCTACTCCCGCTTATCGAGCTCCTCAGTACCGACCCGAACCAATCTCTATGTATAGGTGCAACGGCGAGCCTTGCAATGTCAAGCCTCAACAACCTCTGTCCTTCAACTCGAACGTGGCTGGGCCAGCTACGCCAGCCAACCCTATCCGGCAGCCCGCTGTTCCTCCTCCCGACCATACTACTTCAACCAGAAGCCTCTTTCCTGGCGCCTTGGCTCCTTCTCCGGCCATATGGGAAGGTCTTAGGGGGCACTTCAACCAGCTCGGAATCAACGGGCACCAAAGCATGGCTTCCCCCACAACTCTCCCCCCTGCTCGAACAACCTTAGCTCCCATCCCAGAGGCTCAGCGCCCTGTTCTCCCCGCGTGGCTCGAGGATGCTCTGAAGAGGGAACCTTATCTCCAGAGCCCAGATGCTCATCGTACCCAGATTAGTTTAGCTGCTCGTCAGCAATCAAATGCCCGTGGCTTTAGGCCCATGGCTGCTATCACGCGCCCTCCCAGCCACACGGCCCGCGAGGATGAAGCGCGCGAGTCTATCTTCTCCGACAACTACAAAGGAGAACATAACACCCGAAATGCAAGCGCCATGAGCCTCACCCCAGAGCAAAACTGCGCCCTCTGGTTGACCAATCTCCCACCTAATGTCACTCATCATGAACTGCTTGGACAGATCCGCAACGTCGGACGCATCTGGTGCTCTGTCATCAACGAGCCTGACTGGCAGCGCCACGAAACCGCTGCTGCAAAGGTTGTATTCTTCAATCCCGGCCCTGCTCAACTCCTCCTTTCCAAGTCTCTTACACAGGGTCTTAATGTCCGCGGCTACCCTGTGAGAGTCACTCACAACCGCGTCAAGTACGGCGAGCAAGCCATAATGGGACCTGCGTCACGTGTTCTAATTATCACCGGGAAAACCACCTTTGTTAACCCCAGCTGCCTCACAGAGTTCTTCGAGGAACGCTTCGTTTTCGAAGTGGATGAGATCACCGAGCTCATTGTCCAGGGTGACGCGTCAAAGGGTGGCCGATCTGTGGTTGAGTATCGATTCGGAAGCTTTCGATGCCAGGCGCAAATGGGCAAGATGGCCTTGGAAAAGGATCGACCACAAGGATTTGAGAAGGTAGAGTTCGGAGAGGATCCATGCCAGGTTGGTGATACCCTCTCTGCCTATGGTGTTGCTGCGGAGCGTATTCAGGGAAAGGGAATGTGAGACTGAGAGACGAATGACGAACACATGGATTGTGTATGAGAATAGATTTCTGGATGTGGGCATTTGTGTTATCTTGCTTGTTGGCACTGAGAGCTCTACCGCTAGCTCATACCCTCGAATGACTTCAGAATGCATCAGATAGATTGCGACATAAGACACTAGATGAATTAGATATTGTCAACAGTATTGCAGCGAATTGATTGTTCGACATCAAATCCAAGGTTTCCATGATCCTAGTGAATGTTCACACCAGGCGCTTTCGCTTTTCAACTGTCCCATGACTAGTAAGCGGTTATCGTGACGGCTATGTCCGTGTTCAAAGTGGCTTCGCATTGCCTTTACGATGACCTATAATTAGCCCCTAGGGCTGAACACTGCCCAGTGACTTGCAGCGAATTAGCGTGCCCGTGGCGATCTGAGTTAACGTTGAACCAAAACGGTGGACATGCCACTTCCGACTCGATGTAACCATTCTGCAAATGACAATCGTCATCCATTAACTAGCCACTAACGGTCTTCAAGCCATTATTTTGATGCCCGAAAACGTATGATGATCTTATCGTTAAGTTTATGATTTTTTGGTACAGACAATAGATCGCCATGAATGAACTCCATCAACACCACCCACGTCTAACAATGCTGGTATAACCCAATTACATAAAAAAAAAAAAGAAGAAGAAGAAAACAACCGTAAAGCATCTATCGTTTCAATGACTCATCCCACGGTAGCCACGTCTGGCGATCAAAAGAAGGCATGCACTTGACCTTCTCAGGCGGCTCGTACTGCCACTCAATATGGGCTTTATCCTCCTCCATATGCTGTATAACCTCATTCGTAAAGCCCTTCAACTTCTTGATGTCCTTCCCTCTCGTATCTGTATACTCGAGACTGATGCTAGGTACCACTGCGATCTTTCGGTAGCCCTTGTGCCACAGATCTTTGCAGAATAATTGTGGTTCGCCTTGGAAGCATTCGTCCTTTTTGGGATCGCGGAATCGTAGGCCGTTGAGGATTGGAGCGGCTGTGAAGGCGGTTGCGCCGTTCCAGCAGGCGAAGACTTGAAAGGGAAGATGGGCGTCGTATCGCATTCGCGCTTCTCGGTTTCCTCTGAACAAGTCCCAGGCGTCGTCCCATGATCCATCTTCGGGGATGGGGAAGAATGTGTCTCCTGCAAGTGTTCTGGCAACCTGCAGTATGTTAGTCTCTAATTACGGTCTTCAATATCTGGTTCAACTTACCCATACGTCGTAGAATGTGGGATCAGGACCAGCGTAAGTAAAGTCCATGGCACAAGTCATATCAGCATTCAGCTTACGACGCTGCAGCGCAAGCTCAAGTAGATCATCCGGACAGGCAGCGACATCGTTGATGAAGAGGACAGTGGTGTCATCCGCCGCCGGAACCTTCTTCTTAAACAGCGGCTCCAATGCCAAGTTTCGCAATTGAGCCAACTTGCGGATGCGAGGACCCTTGGACGGGTTAATCGCAGAGTTGTTGTAAAAGTAAGCGATTCCAAGTTCTTCAAGGAATGGGCGCAAAGCGACAAGAACATCAGCAGTTCCATCTGGAGAATTGCCTTCGACGATTGAGAGTGCGCATCGTTCAGGTCCAAGGAATTGGATGGCCTCGACAATGCTGCCCATGAGACGAGGAAGAAGGCCTACGACATTGCGCAAATTAAGGGCAAAGAAGAAGTCAATTGGCTGTTCGTCGTTTTTGTCTCCGCGGGTGTTCGTCTTCTTTTGAAGGTCCTTGTATCGCTTGGTGTCCAAGGGAGGGCATTGAAGCCGTGGGCGCTCTTTTGAAGTAGGATTGAGGATGGCGTGGATGTAAGGAGTGATGCGCTCGGTAGAGAGGACGGAGCCTGGGACTTGTTAGTCACTCTTATGCGGGAATTTGAAGCATTGAGCTCACCATTTGCAATTGGGATGGCGGATTTTGTTATTGTTGGTGTTGGTGTTGCGGAAGTTGTAGAGGATGTCGTTAGTGTAGTCTGTACCTCGATTGTACTTGTGGTGTAAGTGTCAAGCGTCGAGTATGAAGGCGGTTCTTCAATAACAGGCGAGTCATCCAAAGCTGACGTCGTACTCAGAGGTAAATCTATTGTTTCCGTAGACGTGGTCTTAAGGGAGGGGGCATGGAGCGGTAGGTATGCCTCAGATAGTCTGGTGATATGATCTCGACCAAGGTACAAGCTCGCTGTGACTAACAAGAAGCAGACGAGGGGTACACTCAGAACAAAGACCTTGCGATGCATTTCGTCAACACTTGGAGTCCATAACAGAAAAGGAATGAAAATGAGAAGAAAAGAAGGGAAAATTAAAGAAAAGAATAATTAATTTACTCGCGCGGCTGAGAGAAGGGCGAGGCACAGCGACATCGCCTTGAAGGGAAGGGTTGGGATTGAGACACAAACGCCTCGTCAAGTACGAGAGCCCGTTAACAGACGCTAAAGGCCACCCCCCCCCCCCCCCCCCCCCGGCAGCGCCGTTTGAAGGCCGAGGGCACGTTACTGAGAAGCCTGGGCTGTCAGCGTCAGCCCATTATTCGGGGACCTCGTTTACACGGGAGCTAGCAGGGGCTTGATCTTGTAATCATTGGATTGGGTCAATATTATACGAAATGTTCTAACTATTTGTGACGTGGTATCATGAGCTATCTGTGATTACGTTCCGAGGTCAATTTGCTGACTGATTTGAGTCAGCATCAACTGTCCTAAAGAGCATGATTGTCGCGAGAATATAAGCAGAGGCGAATCCTTCTCGTCTCAAACTTACTTCTTCCTTCATCTCATTTGATTTCGGCACGTTAGATCGAACCTGTCATCTCATCATTGGAGCTTGGATGGATTAATCACTCAACTTGCAGCAGGCAAGGATCACTGAATCTGCAAGGGTTATGACAATGGAACTTGCCCTATCGAGCCAAGTCAGATGCCAAGTCGTATCACCCAATAAAAACCGCGTTAAGATAACGATTTGCTGCAAGGAACATGGCATCGAATTCCGATGAAAACGGTTGACCAAAACCGTCTAAAACGGTATCTACACGGCCTTTGGACGACACAACCAACACATGCGATCCTTGACAATTATCCTGGGTTGAGGAGTTGTACTTTGAATTCAGCATGATTTTATCCCCGCAGTTAAACAGAAGTAGAACACGAAAACAATTAAATTAGGTGTGCTTCTTCTCTCGCAGCTCAATTTTTTGTCTCTCTTTCCCCTTTCGAGTGAGACAAAACAGCCAAATATGCAGCAGATAATATGGATTCTCCAATTGTTTCAGTTATACATATGCCACAGCAATGCACTCTACGCCAAACTTCCCACTGCAACTGAGACATTGCAGCCCAACCGCCTTGAACAAAGCGCTGTACCTTCTGAAATGATAACATCCGGTTACAAAAATGGCGATCCAGCAGCTATGATGACAGCCCAATCTGGAAGTGTGTGTCGCTTCAGCACAAAAAATGGCCTTTGGGTCATTTGTAAGAGTGCTGGCGACCCGAAATGTACTCTTGCTGGGCGATGTCGTGACCAGCATGAATGCTCGGATGGCTGCGGAAGACAGAAACCCCAAGTTCAGAATGACATCCTGGTACTATAAGCTCTAACACTTGCCTGATTAACTAATGGATTGATAGCAAGAAGGTCGAATACTGCAGTTTTGCATATCTGATCATAGACGAAGGCCACAAATACACCTACGTCTCCTGCGGTGCCGTCGCTGCAAGGTACCTATTACATCACTCCAAAAGTCCCGGCATTGACAAAAGCCGTTTCACAAACGACGTCGGCAATTGAAACATCGAAACCTTCCAGCGACACAACAGCTGTCACAGAGACAAGCACCACCTCGTCGGGAAGCGCCACTGAAGCCACTGCCGAGGCCTCTGGTTGCAATCGCGCTGAATCGGGGAGTAACACGGGTGCAATAGTTGGCGCTGTCGTTTGAGGACTCGCTGTGGTTTGCGGAACTGCTGTTGCGGTTATATATCTGCTTCGAAGGAATCGTGGGCAGAAGTCGGAGACGACGCCAGAGACAGGGCAGGGTATGACCGAAGCACCGGATCAGACAGAAACGGATAATGGACCCAAGGAGCTGGTTGGATCGAAGCCCTCTGATGTTCCAGCGACCCATCAAACAGCTGAGTTGCAGGGAACACTTGCTCCTCGTCTACCTGATCCTGTGGAACTAGCCTAAGACGACGAGTGACACGAGAATGCCGGACGATCAGCGACTCATGAAGACAACTTGAACTAGTTCTTAGAACGACGAAAGATCCCTCTGTTGGTATATTGCATGCGAGGTAGAGAGCGCGACGTAAGGGCCTTACCTGGCAAGACGGCTTCTCAGTTCTGAAAATCAGATACAGTTGAAATAACCTCACTGAAAGCCGAGGATTTGGAAGGTGGCAGTAGTTCTCAGGGGGAGAATAACTGAAGCATATAGATCCCAATTATTACTTATGATAGGAGTGGTTGAATATAATAGAGAGGTTTCAAGTATATAGTTAACCATTTTACGTTGTTTGGTCCACTTCAGTCTTCAACCGGCACATGTCTAGGAGAGACTGACAAGTGGACTAGGGGCTGAACTGGACATCTCCTAAAGACCACGATTTGGAAGTTGATCATGATCTACGGGGAAAAGACCTTGAGATGCCAGGTTCTCCTTAAATTTGTGCTAGCAACTTATTGTGCCCGCGAGACTCGAGAAGGTGATAGCATCTCTATCTGAATACAAAATCTCATGTAGTTCGTCTTACAAAAAGCGATTTGCTACTATTACCCTGCAAGAAGAAGAAAATTGCCCTTTCCTGGCTGTATTCCCCCTGATCTTGCTCTCGATCCTTCTATTATTAGTGTATGTTGAAAACTTATCATACCCTCATACAGAGCTTTCAGTACCGCGACTACTCCTTTATTGCTTTCATTCTTCTTCCCGGTGGACAACAAGTCAGAATCCGGGAGTAAGAACTGAGATATCCTTTCGTGACCCTCCCAGACAACCTGAATAGAAGAAGCCCTGCTCCAGCAACATTGCATGTGATCCAGTCAAGGGTATCATCTCTTCAGATTAGTCGTCCTTGTAGCCTTTTATCTAAGGCTCTATGCATAAATTTTGCCATCCTGGTATACTCAAGTTGTTGTGAGTAGGCGATGCCAACGCGGCGATATGATGCCGTCTTTCGTGGCCTGACTTGTCATGTAGATTGAAAAGGGATAGGAAAGTTTGAGCAAGAAAATCAATGCACGCTTATATATATTCTGTGATGTTATGTACAAAAGCCTCTGGCATTTTCCTTCGCTAACCAGTAGCGCGGAGTGTTTGGACAGTCCACCAAGCATCTGCAGAGCCGCCGTTAGTATTGAGGTGTGTGGTGTTGTACAGAATTCAAACATATACGTACGTAATAACATCATCCCAAGCGTTGCAAAGACAATCTCGATCCGTCTTTTTGCACTCTTGTGGCTATCAAGATATTAGCTTCGAACCAACACCACGAAGGCTTCTCGTACCGTTATTGTTTCAATACATCTCTGGTAGATTGCTGCGCACTCTGTTGTTCCAGCAGGCTTCGCTGAAACGGATGCCACGGCCAAGAGAATAAGGCTTGTGATGAATTTCATGTTGAAGGGATTGGGATGCGAAGTGTGATGCAGAAATAAGGTCTTGGCAGAGAATTTGAGTGAAAGCTTCGAAACTTATACGAACTCATACAGTGGCAATTGAATTATAAGATTCAGGTCCAAGTCCAGTCCGCTGCGTCATGAGGAATGTGAGACATTCGAGACCTACGAACAAAGGAGCCACTATTCCCAGGTCGTCGGAATTGGTGCAGCACTAGACGCTTTCCGTAGCATTAGCGTGGGGAGATCAAGCCACTATCCATTGTCGTAAAGACTACCGTGCCTGGAATTTACTGGTTAAAGTTGAAGCTACCTCTGAATGATAACGCATAATTGCTAGTGACTCAAGGACCCTGGGCCTGGAGGCCGTGACAGCCGGTTCTCGGCTCGTATAGCAAGAAACGGTCTCTAAAGTGGTTGAATTGAGGATAGTGCCCGTCTTTACTCTTGATTTCCAGGCATTTGGGTCGTTCGGTAGATGAACCGAGCGGAACTAGACGGGATACGGTGAAACACTGTGCTGTGATGGACTAAGTCGGTGAAAGGACAATTGGAACTAATATGAAAAGGTATGATTATCAGCCGGACCATATTAAAATTCAATAGCTCAGCATTTACGCTTAGACCGACCTAGGCTCAAAGTTTCGAGCACGGATGGTTTTAGAGTTACGCCTGAAAACGTTGGGCGTCGATACTGCCAGGGGAAGTCTATTTGGAAACCATCCCTTCACTCCTAGGTGGAGAGACCGTCTTGATTAAGTTGGTTCTTCAGGAGCCCGGAGAAGACTGTAATCAATGGACACTTGTAGACACAGAAGGATGCTATCTGGCTGCAGGGTCATGGTATAAGACGCTGGCTGATGTGGATGACCCTTTCGACGCTGATCGACCCCTGGGTATTGCACTGAGTCACAACGACTATTTCGGTAACAGGAAACCGCATTCAACTATTTGATTATAAACCTGCGGATATATCGTTAGCAAGAGTAAACAAGAAGCCATCCTCGTTACTTACAAGACCCTAGTGAATCAAGATAAGTCGGCGATTGGCCTAAGCATAGCAGCGATCTTAACAGCATATTTCAGCCGCCACATCGCAAAAATTGAAGCAATAACTCCAGAGACAGCAGTCATGAAAGAAGCCTTTCCAACAATTTTCGCAAAAGCAATCCACCACATCAAGCTATGGGCCAAAACAAACTGCTTTGAATCGTTCAACTTGGGGAACTCCTCTTCAGGGATCTCCGTACCCAAGAACTTGCAAAGCGGGCCCCATCCCTCTTGAACGTTGAACTCGAGCATCCTTTCGGCCGGAACTGTTCTCTTGACGAGGTCGTAGTGATCGTGGAAGGCTTGACGAGCTGGTGACTTCTCAGAGAAGTCTGTTATGGTATGGAAGTTGGTGGGCATGGCTTTCTTTGCAAACTCCCAGAACGGGCCAGCCAGTGCAGGATACCATCTTGATAGTGTATTCCAGAGGGGCCACCTGAGGACTCGGCCTCCCGTCGAGTCCATACTTCGAAGCCAGCTATCCACATCGCGCTGAGTGGCGATAACTTTGGCCTCAGGGTACGCGGCCACGAGCTCTTCGACGAAGCAGATGGCCGGCAGATCAGCCACGGCATCGTACGGTCCAAGGATCTTGTCGAACTCTTCACGACCCCAGGGCTTGCCCTTCCCGTGGAACTTGGCATCGAGAGCTTCACGCCAGAGTGAAAGATTCGTCTTGGGGCCACCAAGGGAAAGGGACATGTGATATGGCGTGAAGCCTAGTTGCTTGAGGGCTATGAAGAGGGTCATGGTGCCTGTTCGTGATTGCCCCAGGCATAGGACGCGCATGGGCCTCGTACGAGTAACTGGGTAGGAATCTATGAGGCGGCCGGTTATTGGATGAGGGTTGATATTGGAGAGATCGTGGATTTCGCGAGGGTCGAAGGTATCAAGGAGGGTAGTCTCCTCGCTTGCCTCTAGACTGGGCATCTTCAAAAGAATACGTATGGCAGCTTTAGCAACGTTGCTAGACCTGATGAGAATCGAGAGAGAGAAGAGTTAGCTATAAATAATTTCAGACGTCGGGCAAGAGACCATTTTCAAAAACCAGGAAATGCTCATTTATACGTGTCTTATAAGCGCTAAAAATACACGCCCGCAGCATGATGGAATAGCCACTTTGCTGACGCTTAGAGCTGACAATGCTTGTCTATGCCGGGTATTTTTGAGATAAGATGGTGTGAGGTGAAAGTGTTTGGATGGTCTGTGTAGATGGGAAACAGACGTCAGATTCCATGTATATCCGATGCTAAGCAACATTAAGCCGCCCAATCATGTTGCAAGTAGCGCCTAAATTGATATCTAAGGTTTGACTCTACGGGCACTATGAGAAATAATCTCGGACTGCTCATGTAAGCGGACATGCTCTACATCAGCACTTTTTCATAAGATGGACATAGTTCCACTCTTAGACTTCACTTGTGTCAAAATTGGCAAGCTTCTCGTACCACCGATGAAAAGGGTTATATATACGAAGAATCTAAATATGTACAATCTTCCAACAATGGCCCCCAATCTTTCTGCCATCAAATCACCATCCTAGCAGCGTTCCACCAGCCCCCCATTGCCAATTCTTCTTCCGGAAACAGGGAAACAACTCCGTCCTTTAAGCAAAGTTGCCGCTGGCCGGGAATTCAGCCGAAGGGGTGGCCCCGACGTTCTTGACGATGATGGTGCTGCCGGTGGAGCTGGTGATTCTGACATCGACGGTATCGACCTGGAAACCGCTGGGGTTCTCGAAGAAGTTGTAGTCACGTCGAGTCGTTCCAGTCCAGGTCTTTCCATTGTTGGTACTGACTTCGAGGCTCTTGACGGGGAGGTTGCTGTTGCGGACTTGCATGCTGAACCAGTGCGCGCTTGTGCCTGAGATAAAGTTAGCTGTTGAACTTGGCGTGTGGTATGAGCAGGGCATGTTTCCAAGTCACCTTCTTTGTTACGCAGGACCAAAGGCGTGGTAATATCGCACGAAATCAGTCTCCAGCTGGTCTGAACAAGACCATTGGTACCGCCGACAGCAGTAAAGGCATTGTCAAAGAGATCCAAGTGACCCTTGTTGCACTCGTTGCACTTGTCGACGATCTAACAACACAACAGATTAGCTCACACCACACAAACCATCAGACCATAAGGGTACTCACCATCGCCTTGATCTTCTTGCCGGTTGGGCCGGTGACTTCGATGCAGCTGCCACAAACACCAGCATTGTCCCAGTTGGGGCCGGAGAAAGCAGTGCCATAAATGCCTGAAGGAATCGTATAGGCAACAAAGCCACAGTTACCTCCGGAGACATTGCCGCCGTAGTGAGTCGAAGTTCCAGAGGTGACCTCGTCACTGAGATATCTTCCAGCAACGAGAGCTGGGCCAGCGAGGAGAACAGAAATGAACTTCATGATGAAGTGAAGAATGGAGTAGGATCTTTGGAGGCGGATAAGGGAATAGTATGTGATCGGTGAGTGACCTGTGAAACCATCTTCAGCTTGACGACCAGACTGGTCCTTTTATACTCAGAACATCGCACAAAATCAAATACTGACCTGTTCAACTTCCGACCTCAACTGATTCAGTCTCAAGGTCCTCTAATCTCCCTCGGGAAGCCCACGGGAACTAGCAGGGGTTCCTAGTCGGCAGTTGGTCGAGAACCTCGGAGCAACGCGTCCATGAAACCGCCAGCAATGAACAAAAAACACCCCGGTTTCATCTAGATCGTGATGAGCGTGCGTCAGGAAGAAACAGTAATTCGGCCATTGTTTCGGTATCACACGGGGAACCATCCCAGCCTTGCAAGGGGGACCCTGGCCACTTTGTTTCAATCAGGCTACTTAGCCGCCCACGGCACCGTTGTAGTACGATAGATTGTGTTTAGAGTTTCGTATTGGAGTGACGAGCTGTGTAAAGACTGGTGGAAAGTAACTAGGTATACAACTTCCGCCATGATCTTTAAAGACTAATGGGGCGGCATGTAACATAAAATCGTAACCGAATAGGCAGTTCGGTGCTTCCTTCGTTTATCGGGATCCCCGATAATAACCTATTTGAACTTTAGAGTTCTATCGCGGTCAGCTCGTTAATGGTCTTGCACCTTTATGGACGATCTCCCGAAGGATCAGCACTTACCTGAGCAAATTCCATATGGACCTTAGCAATGAGAAAAATGGTACCAAAACCATGCATATCGTGCATCCATAATCCGTAGGATGTCACTAATCCATTCAGCTGAACTTGTCGTCCCGACAAAAATTCAAAATAGCCTTGTTCATCTCCTAGTCGGCTGATAGTGAGTAGGTTCTCAGTCCTGGGGCCTACCCTAACCGACAGGCAGCTCCATCTGCTCACAGGGCAGAGGAGATCTCCACGAGTAGACGAGACCGGAAGGTCTTGTAGGGCCGATAGAGGATCTGCTTCATGCCGATGGATAGCTCGGAAGACATGGCATCCTCCGGCTTCTTCAGATCAAGTGGAAACTCGAACTTGCTGACGAAAGCAACCGAGAACTCAGCGGTATAAAAATACATGAAATCCTCGTTCTTGTCGTCAGTGAACGCAGCACAGGTCTACACTAGTGTCAACAAGCGTCCTAGGCGAGTCACGTAAGCAGCAGGGGTAAGTTTACCTTGAAGATATGACCCTCGGCGAAGGGATACTTAGGAGAGGTTTTATCCTCTGCCTGAGACTGAGCAAGCCCGAGAAGAACACTCAGGATGTAGGGGTCACGCCACTGATCCTGGGGCTCAATCTTCTTGAGTTGCAGTTCTCGGAACCGCTTAGCGGCAGGGTCATGACGAAGCCGGCTGGGAAGGGGAAAAAGTCCTCTACGGAGATCATTGATCAAGCCCTTCTGGATGAACGCGAAGCTCCCAGCGTAACTGTCCTTGTGAACAATTTCACGTTGGTTGAAGATCACGCCCTGAAGCGGAAGCGGCTTCTCGTCGCCGAAGCAGAAGTATCCGCGAGGACTAGGATCTCAAAGTTAGGATTTCAAGCATGGACACGTTAGTATTTGGAGTCTTACCGGAGGAGCTTAAGAGGTCCGTTGTCACAGATCAAAATCTTGAGGCTTTTGCTCTTCATCGAGGTTTGCGCAAGCTGTCTGACAATTCGATAGTCAGACACCATAGGCTTCTGAGTCTCAGATGGCTGAGCTGCGCCGTCTTCATGATTTTCAGCGATCTCATCGGTGTCGATTTCAGTGAAGGAAGCATTCAGCAGCTCAAGGTGAACCTCAGACCACTCGAGAGGATGAACCCAGACACGAACTCGAGGGTTCTGGATGATAAGATCCCGAACACACTCGGGCTTGGACAGAGACATGACGATAGGAATACAGTGAAGTGAAATGAATTAAAATGAATGTGATGCGGAAGAATTATGCTTGTTGAGATTCCGCGTTTGGGTTGACTAGTGAGGGGGAATCTCAGTGCTGACTTGTGATCGAGAAGTGTGGGATTATTTTTGACCTATGACCGTTTCACCTATTTTCCCTTGGCACGTGAGCCCCAGCACAAGGCATCCGCTCAGCAACGCAAATATCGAATACGTTTTCCAAATTTCCAAGTTGACCCCTGAGGGGAACTCGAATTACAGGGCACAAAAAATTCACTTGGCATTTTCTTCAAAGTCTCCATGAAATCAAAGCCAAGTCCCAATGCTGTACCAACGCTAAATATCACAAGAATACCAACTACACACCTCCTCGATTGTCTTTGACCCATTGGTAACTCCGACTTTCGTATATCATCTCTTTCATACAGTTGATAAAGAACACTTGTAAAATTCTTTCAAATCGTCCACTCTCCATTTTGTACTCCATCCACTTTCTCTCTCGATCCGGTCCAACATTTCCAAGATTGCTTTATGCTCACTTGGATGGCTCATGCATCTTCCAGCAATCCATAACGGTTGCACACTATTCGTCCATGCACCGTGATGCTCATTCGACATGCTTATGCCACATACTTGTCTTGCATGCCAAAGGATGCTTCTTGGTCTGGAAGCATGACCCAGTCGTACTGTTGATGGTTGGTTCTGCAGCATAAGAATCGATGCTGCGTGATGCATTTGATTTCCTGACATCGCAGCAGGGTTCGAGTACAAGATTGTTGGAAATGGCGAGGACTCGCTCGAGGGGATCGTCATGATGGGATGCAATGGAGCTGGACGCTCTTGGTACCATTCACAGATATACTTCCACAACTTGAGCCATCGAGTCCGAAACTTGGCTTCATCGCGGTTAGGATCAGTGGGGGAGGCAGCTAACAGATCAAGGACCTGCGCAGTGAGGTACACAGCATAGTTAGCCCAGTCCTCAAATGTTGGAGCATTCTTAAAGAGCTCGACATCGTTTTCGATCGATAACGTCTTAGACGCCCAGTGACAGATAGGGATGAGCGTCTTGACAGATGATATGAGACCGCCGCAGATATCCATACGCGCAAAGCACCAGAACAGGGCTTGTTCTGTCCCTCCTACAAATCCATTGATGCCAACAGCTTCCATGAGACTCGCACAACCATCAAGATGTCGCTGCCATGCTTTTGGCGAACAGCTCAGCATCTCCAACACGCAAAGGATAACACATGTGGCAATGACAGCTGTTCCGCGTGTTGGCAAATGAGGGAGGAGCATATGAATAGCTTCTTGGTAGAGGGTAAGGCTACGATTCGTCGGTAGTGTATGTTTAAGTTCGAGTTGCCGTGCTGAGAGGGCCAGCATTGAGTATCGTAAATGGTCATTGTCTTTACTCATTGTCGGGATAATCTGCTGGAAATGGCGGTCTCGGTCGAACTTGTCAAGCCAGGGGGCAATTTCGTCAAAATAGTTCTTCCATAGCGAGCACTCCTCTTGCTGGGAGAGCAGCGGTGCCTGCGAGGGCTGGAATTCTTGTATTGGGATCGTGACCTCAGCCTCTTCCGATGATACAACCCCTGAAGCGCTTTCAACCTCTATATGCGGCGTTGTAGATCTTGTCGGCGCAGTTGACCGCGTCTCCTGTATGAGATGATTACGAAGTGTCGAGTGCAATTCGTGGTATGCAGAGCCTGGTAAAAAGATACCGTCTTCGGAGATGCCTTCAGGGGTAAATGCTTGCATCTGGTCGATGTACGGATAGTCTGCTATCATGTCAATTGGGACCGCCTCCATGGATACCTGTAAAGCAGGATCAATGTCGACCGAGGAATGAGATTGACCGTTTTGACTGAAGTAAAGTAGGTCGGCCACTGCGTTTTCGGTTTGGCGCTGTGACGTGGGTGATGAGATATCGACGACCGGGGGTCGTTGTATAGAGACATAGCCACTTGGCGTATTGTCTACGCCGCGAGGTCTTCCACCGACGATGAGATTTGAGCGGTCTAGATGAGTGTTAGTTCAACACACGACCCCTGAAGCAGATCAAGTTCATACCAGAAGTGCTCGTCCGTGCACGATCATCACTAGTCTCATTGTCATCCTCCTCTGTCTCAGCACCATTATAATCACGAATGACCTCATCCGTCACATCCAGAATCTCAAACTCCCTCGGCTGCCTCCTCCTCGCCATCCTCCGCATTGAAGGATGCCGCACATTTAAGCATTGGGCATGCTCAGCTCGAAACGCAATCTTGAGACCCCATTCACAAGACTCATTGCGACGACGACATGTCCCGCAAGCCGGTCGACTCTCATCGCATTTACGCTTCTTCCGCCTGCAATTGAGACACCCGGAGCGAGTCCGCTTATGCTTGGTTGGTTCGGATCGGACTCGGGCCCGGGATGCGGAGGGACGGTCCATAAGTCAATTGTAGCCGAAGTTGGGATTCCGGGTGAGAATTGTGTTATGCCACTTATTGGGAGTACGAGTGGAGATGGAAGTAAGAGTGAGAGTGAAGATGTCCAAAACTCGGAGGGGCAGGGCAATTGTAGACGCCAAAATCTGGGGTCCAGCCTGTCATACCCAAAAAGACTCGTGATCGGCAATTGTTCCAGAAAACGGTTAAAGGGAACTAAAACATTGACACAAACTATTAATTTGCAAGTAATTGATGCTAAAATGAATAAAACAGTAGATCTTTGCTGGTTCCCCGACAAACAAGTCTTCAACTCGAAACATGCCTGAACTGGGATTAGTTTACCTTCGCTTACAATTGCCTTTTGTGCTGACGTTCTTTAGTGGGTGGACAGTGCTCTTCATCCTGGTCTGCCTTAACTCTACTCGGTTAGACAATCATCATCATCAGGATAAAGATGTTCCCCAGGAACTTGTAAGCGAAGAAACACTTCCATCCAATTGCCGACTGTGCCAATCATCTCAATTGGCTCGAGTATCCAGTCCATCGCAAAGGCCTTCGAGAATACTTACAACACCAAGAGCTCCAGGATCAGGAATACCACCCTCTTCATCAAACCTGTCCTGTCCAACATAGCTCGCCCTTCCCAGAGCCGCTACCATCTGCCGTGTATTCTCAGCGCCCTTACGCGCCTCTGCTAGAGCAGCCCTCAGTGAGCCATCCAGGGAATAGTTGTTGACGAAAGGTATAAGTGCGTCCATAAGTGTGCGGTGACCGATGCGCGCAGGGGTGTATCTGCATAGCTCGTCTAAGCCGCTCTGAAGAGCTTGTTGTATGAACTCGGAGACTGTAAGCGATGGAGAGTCGGCGGTCAATTCGAAGAGTCGGTTCGCTACAGCATTGAGGAAAATGGCGTAGATAGCGCCCGACGTGCCGCCCATGCTCCTCTCTGCGGTTGTCGCTGTTCGGCGGAAGACTTGGCCAATGTCGAGGGAAACTGCGTCGTCGTTTTCGAACTCTTTTACGAGACCTGGACGTTGGCAAGATCAGTATTTCTGCATCTCAATCAATGAGCTTTGGTGAGGACGTACCAGTGACTCCATTCAGAAGCGTCTCTCCACAATCTCCATCGCCCGCAAGTGTGTCGTATTCTGTAATCTTGGGCTCATCCCTCACTGTTGTACGTGCCACTGATTCAATGAGAACCTTGACAAGCGACGTCGGAACTGCCAATTGATCAGTTTTTATGTTGGCAGACGGCTTCATCTTCGACTCACCTTTGACTCCCGTCTCCCTACCATTGGCCTTCGCAGCAGGGACCATCGTCTCACGCTTTGATACAGACTCTGTATCTGTCGCCCATCCGTGAATTGAACGTGGCCAGACAGGTGCGGTAGTGGGAGCATCAAGCAGTTCTGTCAATTCATCGTCGAGTGACAGCAGAGTGACAGAAAAGCCAGGTCCATCGAGCGATGTAACAAAGGTGCCAATAAGACTCCTTTCGACATGAATGCTTTGTTCGACCAATTGCTTTACCACCTCATCTGCAACAACACCGATCTCCAAGACACTTAAGCCGCCTAGGTTATTGACCATCAAGGCTACACGCTGCCCCCTTTCTGGTTGCCACATGTTGCTCTTGGGAGTGAACATCATGCTCAATGCCTTCTCAACTGTAACCTCGAGGCTTGTGATCTCTTCGCGCTTGACTCCTGGTTCGTTGTGTATTCCCATGCCGAATTCGACTTGGTCGTGGGAAAGGGCTTCTTGAATCGTTCGGCCAGGGACGCTACATCGATCGAGACTCGCTGCGACGGTGGCCATTTGCGAGGCGGCTTTTCTTGCCGTGGAAGCGACCTGCTCGAGAGAGGCTCTGTGTAAATGAAGTAAGCTTTGGCTCATTCAGCATGGTAGATTGGGCATACCCTTGAGCTGCCTTTGCGCCAGCGATCTTATGGCAGAAGACTGTTCCTGCGAGACCACGCTGACCAACAAGTGTGTTTCCCTCAACGGAAACATCATCTCCAACAATGACCATCTCAACTTTTTGCCCGTCTGCCTTTGCCTTCTCTGCTGCGAGCCCGAAGTTCAGCTTGTCGCCCGTGTAATTCTTGACGATCATCAGCGATCTACTCTGGTTAGCCAGACACTCGACTTCCATGGGGCACGGTCGTACCCTTTTGATGACTTGACAGTCTGCAGGCCTGTGAGGATCTGCGAAGCGGACGGGGAGGCAAAGATCTCGCCAGCGACCACAACGTCTAATGCTCCCTCGCCGATGTATCCTGCGTGCGCGGGTTCGTGGCCGGAGCCGCCGCCGGAGATAAGGATGACTTTGTCATTGCTTTGGTCCGTTCGTCGGTAAAGAACTAAAGGGGCAGTCAGTTTATGCTTGAGTGCTGTTGTAGGTCCTGGCCTCACCTTTCTCCGATGCAATGAGACTCAACGAAGAGTCGTGAAGGATGCAACTCCTGAGGCTTCGCTCGACCGAGTTGGCGACGCCATTTATAAAGCTCTTCCCTGAGGTTTCTTGTCAACAACTGACTTGTCTTGTTTCCACAAGCGCATACCTAGAGTCATGGTTGTTGAGGAGTGTTTGTCTTGCGTTTATCGTGTCGATACCTCACAAAGCGCCAACACTGGTTGAAGCAAAGGGAATCGTTTTCCAATGCTTCATCTTTGATACCACATGACATCTTTATCTTATGGTTCCCTACGAGGCGTTCCCAGATTCCTAATCCGACCATGATCCTTATTCTTTTCGCGATAGTGTCAGCACAACACCAAACGGCCATTTGAGTATATCTCACAAAGGGTCGGATGAGGGAAGTATACGCACCCCTGATCATTATACAATCCGTGAGGTGCAGGGCATCTGTATGCGAATTAGTGTCGTCTAAAGAAAATTCCATCGTCCATTTTGGGGTGTTGCAGTGAGGAGTGGAGATGGGCAGGGGAACTCCAAATTTGCGGCCGATCTTGGTAGGTCTAAGCGGACCCAAATTACTTCAACATCGAGACCATGCTCTTTCTTTGATCAATTAAGTAATTTCGAGAGTTGGTATGGCCTGCTTTCTTTGGCATTTTCAGTTTTGTCCTTCTGCAGTTGCACAAACAAATTGACTATTGTTTGTGGTTGCATGAAGAGGACACCCCTAATAAGGGACCTACGCTTAAGCATACTACAGCTATCCCACCTAAGAATATCACCAGCCTTCCACTGAAACATCAATTGCATGCACAGGTATTTTCGCTAAACCATCCATCTTCATCAACACCCCAATTCATCATTATCGTATCATTCCATCGGCTACAATTCACCTTTTTCGCAAAAACTGGGCAACTTGAAAACCCCATCCCTGAATTCGGTTGCCTAAATGCCCCCATATTCTCTCCAGCGCTTGCAAATGCCTCACCTCTCTCAAAACCGGAACCGTTCGTCTAACCCACAAAACCCCCAGATGATCCAATGTTACGGTACAGTGGACTCCCCACGGGGAACTGGCGCCATGTCACGGCCTTGGAACGAACCTTGTTTTGCGCGAGTCAACAATTGATCTAATTTTCTCGTCGCCGAATTATCACTTCAGAGCAGTATATATTGATATGGAGTCGCCCCATCTTTTACTGTTGGTGTTGTGACTGATAGCATCAACATTGGTTGTTGAATAGCTTCACTTCTGTTCTTTTCACTTCTCATCAATTCTTCATCATGACGATCCTTGTTGGAAGACCCTTGGACTGGGCCATCACGGCTACAGCTGGTTCTGGCTTCCTCCTCTTCGGTTATGATCAGGGTGTTATGTCAGGCCTGTTGACAGGTACTGCATTCACCAACACCTTTCCCGAGATCGACACTACAGATGGAGGCAATGGCAGCTCCTCTCTTCAAGGAACCGTGGTCGCCATCTACGAGATCGGTTGCTTCTTCGGCGCCATCTTCTGCCTCATCTTTGGCGAGTACTTTGGTCGTCGCAAGTGTATCATGATGGGCTGTGTTGTTCTCAGCATCGGAGCCGCTCTTCAAGCATCAGCTTTTGGAATCCCCCAGATGATCGTTGGCCGAATTGTAGCTGGTCTTGGAAATGGCATGAACACCAGTACCATTCGTAAGTTGCCCCTGACTCTATCACAGATCTCAAGTAACAGTCTTCAGCTGTCTGGCACTCTGAACTCATGAAAGCCAGCAACCGTGGCAAGGGTCTCGCCATTGAACTCGCAATCAACATCTTTGGCGTCATGCTTTCATACTGGGTCGACTACGGCATGTCCTACGTCAGCAGCGACGCCCAGTTCCGATTCCCCCTTGCTTTCCAGATCTTCTTCGCCATCTTGACCTTCATCGGAATTGTTCTTCTTCCCGAGTCTCCCCGTTGGCTCATCAACCATGATCTCCACGACGAGGCTCGAGAGGTTCTTTGGGCTGTGCGCCGAGATGCCAAGTCTATCTCCAAGGAAGACGAGACTGTTAGCCGTGCTATTGCTGAGATTCAGCATGCTATCAATGAGGAGCGAGAGGCGGCGCAGACGAGCAGCTTCAAGGCTATGTGGAAGAATGGAGAGCAGAAGTTCCTGTACCGAACAATGCTCGGTATTGGTGGACAGTTTATGCAACAGGTAAGATACCATCGCATCGTCTTCTCGACCAGCTTTGGCTAACATGCTCTTCTGACAGCTTTCTGGTATCAACCTCATCACATATGTAAGTCCACTGAACAGAAGTGTCAATCCCGAACTTCAAGCGACTAACACCAAGTCATAGTATGCCCCCGTCATCTTCCAAGAATCAGTCGGAATTTCCCATAACCTGAGTCTCCTACTCGCTGGCTTCAATGGTGTCGCATACTTTTTCTCTTCACTGATCCCCATCTGGATCATTGATCGCCTCGGTCGCCGCAAGTTGATGATGTTTGCTGCGGCTGGTCAAGCAGTCTGCATGGCTGTCTTGGCTGGAACGGTGTCTACTGGGCAGCCTGGACCTGGTATTGTCGCCATTGTCATGCTCTTCTTGTTCAGTAAGTCAGCCCCTGAAAGAGAGACAGACCCAGCTAACGCAATGGTAGACTTCTTCTTTGCTGTCGGATTACTCGCCATCCCCTGGCTCTGTAAGTAAACCCACCTTAATACCTCCAGGACCAGTCCAACTAACAAAGTAAAGTGCCCGCTGAATACGCTCCCCTGGCCATCCGAACCCGCGCCGCCGCCCTCGCAACAGCCTCCAACTGGATCTTCACCTTCCTCGTCGTCGAGATCACTCCCGTGTCCATCTCAAGCATTGGCTGGAAGACATACATCTACTTCTGCATATTCAACGCCTTCTTCGTTCCCCTCATCTACTTCTTCTACCCCGAGACCCGACTGTTGTCTCTCGAGCAGATCGACAAGCTCTTCACTGGTCCAAAGGTCTTGCTTCATTGGGACCACAGCATGGGTGTGCCTGGAGAGGCTTCTGAGAAGAGCGCCAGTGGTGAAACTGGTGAGACGGAGAGCAATGAGAAGTTTGAGGCTGAGGTCCATATGCGGGAGTAAAATGACAGAGGAACTGGGTTGTACGGAAGGGGGTGGGTTATACCCCTGCTTAGGTTGATTCATGTCGATATAGCCTCCAATTTATGATCATTTAGTACTGTATTATACACTCGATCGACTCGCCAAAGACCAAAGTCATTATTTACATTGGTGTAAAAGAAGAGGACATCCAGTATAATTACAGTAATGAAAAGCGGTCAAACATATGGCATAAAAAGGCTACTTGGTATCATTCAGCACGCTATTTCCAAGAAAACCAATTGGGTTTCTTCTTCTCGATCTCTTGCTTCTTCTTCCATTCAGTTTCCTCTTGGGCCATCCAAGCCTGCATTCTCATACACTTCTCTTCCATCTGCGCATCTGTCAAGAACCCACGTCCACCGTCTTTGGCGGTATCCTTGTCCTGCGACCCGGAGTATGAACCCTTTGTCACTCCCAATACGTCGCAGAGTCCTTCAGACTTCTCCATAAGCCATGTCCCATGACGGAGACCATCGCGCCAATGTGGAGGCAAGGACTTGTATCCGAGTAATGCTCCTAAAAGAGCACCGGCAAAGCAGGCGTTTGTGTCTGCATCACCGCCTTCCATTGTCAGATCGGTGATGAGCTTCTCGAAGATGGCTAGCTGTGAGCATAATTGTTCCGAAGACTTGAGTTGGCGCAGTGCTAGTCGAAGAAGCAGGATACCAGAGCCAAAGGTCTTATAAACGTATCCGATCTTGTAGCTCTCATCCAACTTGAGGTCAGCGAGGGTTTGAGCTGTCGCATGTTTTCTGAACTCGTCAACATCCAGACGAGGCTCATCTTTCTTATCTGGATCCTGCAATTCCTTCTCGCGAAGCTCTTTGTACCACGTTAGGCCAGTTTCGATCAACTCGTCGACATGTCGCTCTTCGTAGATCTCACCGAGGACAAGTCCACGAACAAGAGCTGTGCCAATGGCGCAAGAGACCACACATCTTGGGTCGACGTGCGTGACGACAGAGAAGTCGGCCGCGACCTGAAAGGCCTCCTCAACAGACTTGTTAAGGCACATGAGCCCCAGCGGATGTGTTCTCATCAGACTTCCATTGGGCGCAGCATTGTACTTCCCCGTCACCCAGAACTTACGCGCTGTGCCCTCAGGATCATCGAGGTAGGATTTACTGCGCACAATTCCACCGACTGTACGTCCAAGACCAAGAGGCAGGGTGTCCAGCGCTCTTAGCCCCATACGCACCCAAACTGACAGTCTTGACGCAAAGTCTTGTGGGTCAACCTTCTTCCCATCATTATGGAGGAATGAAAGCAGTATCAGAACAGCATGGTCTGTGTCATCAGTCCATTCTCCAGTACGATGGAAGTTTCTGTGATGGTCGCGTCGAAAAGGTGTCGCTTTTTCAGCAGGGAGTAACGTGAATTTGCGGTCGGGATATGCTTTTGCTGAGATGTCGGCGGACAGAAACTCTGTGTACAAGCCAATTGCGTCTCCAAGCGCTGAACCGAAAATGGTACCGATGATACGGTCTTGGAGGTGCAAAGGCCCCAATGCCTTGTGTGCATTTTCTGAGAGGGTTATAGAAGTCATTGCGATTGATTGTGATGTTGTTGATTGAATGGCAAGAAAATTGGGTAGTTGTCTTGTTTTATACTGCTTTCAGCTGAGGCAGCCAAATTAATGAAACAACCTCGCAAGGCATCCGCGACTAACCCCAGAGGCTGAATTAGCGCCATGGTTTTGGTGGTGGCAGTGTGGACGCCATACACTGAGGTCAGCTGGCTTTTTGAATAGCTCAATGAGGTAAACAACTTTGTCTCTTTTCATGCGGCCTTAATTGAGCTCCAAGATGGCTTTCGGCGTTCGTTAATAACGGTCTCGGTCCTGAGTGTAGTGGAATGGGCGGTCAATCGGTCAACACGGCAGACTGTTATACGTTTCTGGGACATGCCACAATCGAATCATAAAGTTTCTCATATTATATAAACGCCCTAATCAATCATGCAGATGCGCAATGTCCTCCATCGACCCTCAGATCCGTACCGTGAACAAATGAAGCACCCTCGGACAGCAGGAATACAGCGGGAGCCTTGAAGTCTTCAGGAGCACCCAGGCGGCCCAGCAAAGCACCCGCCATCCATGTCTTCTCAACCTCGGGGTTCTCTTGAAGCAATTGATCCGTCATAGCAGTTCTGATGTATCCAGGAGACAGTGTGTTGACTCTAATACCGTACTGACCCCATTCTTGAGCGACCGATCGGCACATTTGTTGAACAGCAGCCTTGCTGGAGTTGTAAGCTGTGCAGGAGAGGCCCTGTCCCTTGTTAGCTTTCTGGGTCTACTTGGTAATGCTATAATGACTTACTCGGTTGGCAATGTTGCCTGACATGCTTCCAATGATGACGATGCTTCCAGGGCTGTTCTTCTCTCGTAGGACGCGTGCAGCATACTTGCAAGTGTTGAAAACACCAGTCACATTGACTCGCAGAATACGGTCAAAGTCGGCAGCTGGGTAGTCCAGCGCAGCAATCTGTTGCTGAATGCCCGCACAAGCAATTGTTCCCCAGAAAGGCGCACCAGACTGGTCAGCCTCAGCAGCGATCTCTTCCATCGCTGTCTCAACAGACTGCTCTTCTGTCACGTCGCATTTTCGGTACGAGACAGAAGCCTTGTTGGCTGTGGCGATCTTGTTGAGCTGTGCCCACTCGGCCGGTGATGGCTCCTCGAGAATGTCGAGGCAGGCTACACTACCGCCGGCTTCGACAACGGCAATAGCAAGTGTGATACCCAGGCCGCGAGCTCCGCCTGTGATGGCGACGGTCTTGTTCTCGAGGGAAAAGAGCTTGAACGCTGATGCTTTTGAAGCGGGTGTTTCTCTGGTCTCGGGCACATGGGCCGGGAGCTCAATGTCGGACACGATAGCTGGAGCCATTGTGAAGTTGTATGGGTATAAACGAGGTCGTCAAACAATGTTCGGTGAAGAAAAGAATCGAAGCTGCCGGGAGAGAAAGGTTTTGGAGACGCAGGCTCGTCAGGATATACCATCAACGGATATCCATTTCTGGAGGCACCGAAGATATGTTGGGTCAAGCATTACCGTCATAGCATCCAAGTGGAAGGTCTATGCGAAGAATGATGTGTCTCAAATTAAGTTTCGGGACAGATACTCGATGATCTTGACGAGGTAATTGTAGCCGGAGGTTGTCGCATCTCAATAAGACAGTCGTGGTTTTCGGCAAGATCCAGTATTTCCAGGCTGAAAGAGGAGGGACAAAAAGAGCTGATCGGTGTTTGGCAAGACACAAATACTGAGGCGTCTCCACCACGTACTAGCCCCTGAACTGCCCGTTTGTTTTCTGCTGGCCTTCGGTTCCACAAACAAGTCCGGCTATTACTTTCACCTAGCAGTCTCTGTCACGAATGCAGACACTCAGAGTTGTACGACATTTATTACAGAGATACACTAGCCTCCCCTGCCTCCTTAGTATTTCAATCCTGTTACCTTTTCTCCACATGATCATGGTGTGTCAATACCCCAATCCTCAAGTCAATGGCAGTTCTAAGCGCAATCTCGACCCTAACTACAACAGGCAAAGCCGTGATCTGGTGCCTCCAACTTCCTGATACAGAAGCCGATCCTCACTCAACCCAATAACATCAAACTCATCAAGAACCCCACGTTAAATGGCAAACGCACATATCCCCACGGCGCTTTCCCCTACCCTGTTGGGGTAATCCGGTACGCCATGGCCACAACGAACATCATCCTCGTTATGAGAAAGATCACGCGCAAAGGATGCTTTTTCGAAATGCCTATAACTCAAGAGGCACTGTCGATGTTTCTCAACTGTACTCATCATCTTCTCGTCTTGTAAGAGCATCACAGAGTCCAGTCCAAGATGGCACCCATCGCAATCACCCCAGAGACACAGGAGGAGCCTGTAGCTCTTTCCAACGTTGTCAAGTTGATCAAGAACGATGATGCAGAGACAATTGATCTTGCCTTGCGACAGTTTCGCTGCTTGATCGCTGATCTTTGCGAGCAGTTCAAGGGTGGCCACCCTGGGTAAGGTTTACACGCATCAAAAGAAAGAGAATGGCATTTACTGACTGACTTATAGAGGTGCCATGGGAATGGCGGCCATTGGCCTCGCCCTTTGGAAGTATGTGATGCAGTACTCTCCCAACGACCCTGACTATTTCAACCGCGATCGTTTCGTCCTCTCCAACGGCCACACATGTCTTTTCCAGTACACGTTCCTCCATCTCACAGGCTACAAGGCCATGACCTTTGAGCACCTCAAGTCTTACCACTCATCCAACTACGACTCATTGGCGCCCGGTCATCCCGAGATTGAGCATGAGGGTATCGAAGTAACGACCGGTCCCCTTGGACAAGGTATCGCCAATGCTGTCGGTCTCGCCATGGCTACCAAGAACCTTGCGGCAACTTACAACAAGCCCAACTACGAGCTCATCAACAACATGACCTACTGCATGATCGGCGATGCTTGTCTGCAGGAGGGTGTCGCCCTTGAGGCTATTCAACTGGCTGGCCATTGGAAGCTCAACAACCTTGTCGTCATGTACGATAACAACCAGATTACATGCGACGGTAGTGTTGATCTCTGCAACACCGAGGACGTCAACGCCAAGATGCGCGCTTGTGGTTGGGACGTTATCGAGGTCGAAGACGGCTGCTTTGATGTCGAGGGTATCGTCAAGGCCCTCCTTAAAGCCAAGGCCAGTACCGATAAGCCTACGTTCATCAACATTCACACTATCATTGGAGTCGGTAGCAAGGTTGCCGGCGATGCTAAAGCCCACGGTGCTGCTTTCAGCCCTGATGGTGTCAAGGCCGTCAAGGAGCGTTTTGGTATGGACCCCGAGAAGCACTACGTCGTCTCTGATGAGGTATACAGCTTCTTCCGCGACCGCAAGACTCGTGGTGACCGCCTCGTCGAGGATTGGAAGAGCCTTGTTGACGCCTATAGCAAGGAGTACCCTGGGCTCCATGATGAGTTCATGAAGCGCGTTGAAGGCCGCTTTACTGATGACTGGCGAAGCATCATCCCTGATAAGGAGTCATTCCCTACAGCTCCTACACCTTCACGAAAGTCTGCCGGTATCATCTGTAACCCTCTGGCTGCAAAACTCAAGAACTTCATGGTCGGCACAGCTGATCTATCACCTTCTGTCAACATGATTTGGAAGGATAAGGTTGACTTCCAGCATGTAAGTGCCCCTTTGATACTAAAAGTAGCCTGTCACTAAAACAGCAACAGCCCGACCTGAAGACCACCTGCGGCATCAATGGCAACTACTCCGGCCGGTACATCCATTGGGGTATCCGCGAACATGCGATGGCTTCCATCTCCAACGGTCTCGCCGCTTACTGCAAGGGCACCATCCTCCCTGTCACCTCAAGCTTCTTCATGTTCTACATCTACGCCGCTCCCGGTGTCCGCATGGGCGCTCTCCAGAACCTCCAGGCCATCCACATCGCCACCCACGACTCGATCGGTACTGGCGAAGACGGCCCAACCCACCAGCCAATCGCTCTCCCTGCTCTGTATCGCTCCATGCCCAATCTCCTCTACATCCGACCCTGCGACACTGAAGAGACTGCCGGTGCCTTCATTACCGCCCTCGAGGCCAAGGATACTCCCTCTATTATCTCCCTCTCCCGTCAGAACCTCGAGCAATACCCCCAGTACTCCAGCCGTGAAGGTGTTCAGAAGGGTGCTTATGTCTTCATCGAGGAGGAGAACGCCGACGTTACTCTTATCGGCGTTGGCGCCGAAATGGTCTTCGCCGTGAAGACCCGCGACGTCCTCAAGGAGAAGTTCGGCATCAAGGCCCGCGTGGTCTCGTTCCCTTGCCAGCGTCTCTTCAACTCCCAATCACTTGAGTACAAGCGCCAAGTCCTTCAATACCGCTCCAACACCCCTCGAGTTGTCATCGAGGCCTATGCTGTCAACGGCTGGGAACGATACGCTGATGCTGGCTACTCAATGGCCACCTTCGGCAAGTCACTACCTGGGAAGGACGCCTACAAATACTTTGGCTTTGATGAGAATGTCATTGCCCCTGAGGTGGCCAAGCTTGTCGACGAGGTCAAGGCGGAAGGGATCGAGAGCCTACGCGGGGAGTTTAGGGATCTCAACAACGTGACACACGAGCACTAATGATGATGGTTCAAAAAGGGTAAAGGATTACGGCATGTGACTTGGAGTTTATGTTAGTTTGTTGATGATACGATGATGGTCTTTTTGCATAATAAAAAAATTTTGTTCTATATTCGCCAGCTCTTGATGCATGATTCCAAATGCTTCCTATCTTGTGTTCCTTTCTTTGGCAACAGATCCTCTTTATCTTTGCGCCAGCATATTCCATGCTCCATTTTTCCAAACTCCATGCTGATTGCTCGCTTTGTCTTAATATAGTGGTATCATCCGTAAAAGCAAAACCCAAAAGACAACAAAAGACTTTCTTCCCGTGATCCCCATGCCCGTCGGCTTCAAAAGCAAAATATCTGCACCCACTCCGTCACTTGCAGCGACAGAAAAGCCGTAGCCTATCTTGATCTCCCTGATTCATCGCCGTCCTTGTGGGCGAATGATGGAGTCCGAAGGTGGCAAAGCCTGAACACCCTCCAGCACAAGCTCAGTCAGAGAGCCCAACACTCCACGGTTGATGATACGAGGCATGTTAGGCCATCGCTCTTGAGCCCAAATTGCGACATCATTCCCAGCACGCAAAGCCCCTTCAGCCAGATGGCCTCCAGCTTGGGTTGTGGTCACCATGGCATCGTGGGCACGCTGAGCAGTATATATAAGCCCGCCGGTAAGGTTGTCGTATGACCTAGCGAGGTTGTTCTGCGCAATCTGGGCGGTAGCAGCAAGAACTCCTTGCGGGATATCTGTGCCAGAAGGGTTCTGGATAAGGCTAGAAGTGCTATTCATGAGTAAGCTTTGTAGTTTCTTAAGCAAGGGCGGCTCTGAGAAATAAGAGCCAAAAGGGATTACAAGATCATACCTCTGACCAGATTCCTCTTCAGTCTCGTTTAACATGGCAGCGCTAAAATACCCAACCATTCCATCGTCGTCAAACCGAAGTTCCTCCGGAAATGCTTCCTCGTCAGAGAGCTCCTCAGGGGCGAGTTCGTTCATGGAACGATCTCGGTGCATTGCCCCTCTAACGAGCGGTCCGTCCAGCATCTCATACCCTTCTTCACGCTCTCCCTGATCAGAGTTCTCATCATCAAGAGGGATGTCCTCCAGGTCCTCAGGAGCGTGACTGGGCCCATTTTCGGCTGCGCCAGGCTCCTCTAAACGTTCCTGGGCTCGATGTCGAGTCCAATAATTATTAACCTGAGGAGTATTGTCAGGCGCAGAGTCCGAAGACAGGTCAGTGCTGGACGCGTAAGGACTGTCCATTTTGTTTATCCGGTTCTTTTGCGATAAGTGACTGCTTATCTAGGGAAATGTTTGCCAAATACCTTTTAAAGACACTTTAGTCCAAGAGTGATGGGGGATTGGGGATGGTGAAGGTGTGTGATGAGTTTGTGGGTGTGTAATATGAAGTTTGTTTGTGGTGAAAGGGAAACAATAGAAGCGTGCAGGAGAATTAGCAGGTTTACGTTTGGACGAAAGTCGTGAGTGCGTCTGGACTGTGAGTCCAGGTGAGGGTCAGGTGAGGGTGGGTGGAAGCGGCAGTGGAAGTGAATCTGTGGGCAAGATATCAGAACTCGATCATTTCACGATGACTCAAACCCCGTGAAATTACTTTTAGCAGCGACATTCATTCGTCTCTCCAACATCTAAGTTAACTAGCTCAAAATCTCTTTCCGTTACGCTTTCTTATTGTGTCGCTTCAAGGCCTCCAGCCTCAGGCTTACGATATCGAGGTCCATCAGTGCCCCTTTTCTCGTAGTCAACGCGCTTACATCAAAACTGCCACCACACAAGAACTGAGCGTACATTTTTCCAATTATTTTCACTCCAGTCCTATCTCGAATTTCTCTTTGTTGCAGATAATCGTCTTTTGGGCCACTGCAACATCACACAACTACTTACCATAGTAAGTTTTGAGATAAGGTTCTAGTCAACGGTAAACTTCCACTCTCTTAATCTACGCCACTGTAAACCTCACAGCGCTTAATTCTCCCACATATCTGGGGTTCTCTTCATTGCTTCTGAATCCGCTGGGTAGCAGTCCGTTGTCAAAGCTACCAAAGAATTCTTTTGGTAAGACGTCTCTTATGAAGGATCTGGGGCGTTGGTTTAGGGCCGTATTCTATTGAACGACTGCTGTTTCTCGGGTGAGCTTCGGTGTTGGTGTTTCTTCGAAACGTGACTTCTTCTAACTTTCGACTCTGATCAAGTTGAAGAGCCAATCAATACTGTTTTTTATTTTAACATCCCTTTGGTCAAGGGTGGCCCTGAGGGAGCAAGAAAACTTCTCATGGTAAATCAAGATGCCAAAAAGATTGGTCTAAAGGTCTGCTAAATCTATATTAATTTGCCCAAGTGTATACTAAACTTATCCCAGTCTTTTTATCATTTAGAATAGAAGTTAGAAGCTTTCTTGCTCCCTTAGGTAAGGTTAGCTAACTTTAGTATTCAGAAGTTTGTAAATTCTCTCAAAGAGACCTCAAAGTTAAAACTGATCCCTTATATCTTAATAAAAGCACCCTGTTCCTTCCTTCCTTCTCACTGTTTTGATTTTCCTCACACTTCCCCATTTCCTTTGGACTTCTTCTTTCTCATCCAAGTCTTTTTATTCCCGCTCATTTTTATCCCTTCTTACACCACAGTATGTATACCTGAATACTCTATTCTATCTTTGTGTCTAACATTCTATCCAGATGGTCGGACCTCGGGGATCTCGAAAGGCCGGTCTTGGTCGCCCCGGGGGAAGTGGTCGCCCCCGAGGAAGCCGTCAGCATCCGGACGCTTGTATTTACTGCGAGGGCCTCACGGCTCCGTATAACAACCTAGTGTTTTTTCGCGCTCACAACTTCTTCGTCTGGACCATGAAAGTAGAGCCCGAAGAGCAGCGATATAGGAGTATTGAGAATCATCTCAAAGAAAGGGTCGACCAGAGTGTGGTCGATCAAACGTATTACCAGGCATGCTTCGATCTACTTGACGCAAAACAGATACCAGTCGACAGCTTGACAGAAGAGGTGCGCAACGCTCTTAGGGAAAACCGCAAAGAAATATATAATACAGCCTGGCCAAAGCTCATGCATACAATGCAAGCTACTTCGGAAAACCAATTGGTTGATCCTAGGGTCGTTCCCACCAACAATCAAGTGTTGGAAATAGCGAGGCAGGTAACAGCCATGATATGGGATCATCTTGAGCACTTCCGAGTCATTCAGTTCCCGTTCATGTGTCGTGGTAGGTATTTTCTCGGATACCCCCCTGGAACCTTTATTTTCCGATACATGAACCCCTTACCACTCACTGAAAGAACGAACACCTCGGACGCCATGAATTTCATATTCGAAGGTCAAGTCCCTCGAAGCTTCTATGAGCACAAGCTACGCCTCGAATCCCTCTGGAAGCCAGCCTCGGATTTATTCATCAGCACGATTCAGCTGTACGTCGGCAGAGGTCACAAAGCCAAATACCCAAGACTAGACTTCGTACGCCAAAGAAAGATGATAGGTCTTGATATGTTCGGACCCATCTTGGCAGATTGGAATTCTTGTTCACTCGAAAGCAGTTTCGTGTTTCCTAGCCAAGACACCAAGAACAGCATTGCGAATCATGCAGTGACCCAAGAGCTTGCGTGGCTTACATTTCAACTCAAAGATGCGCCTGGAATCAACGGAAGTGCTCATTCGCAGGAACTAGAGAACCTTCTCAGAGCTGCCACTGGTCTATCACTGCCAGAACTTGCAGGCTTCTGGGAATCTCAGCTGGAAGTCATGGCCTGGGGGAAGTTTTATGGTGAGAATCGCCAAGATCTCTTTATCTACGAAAATCAGTCTCATGAAATGGTAAGTTTCCAACCTTCCAAGGCTCTTCATTCCAGCGCTACTCGTATCGGGAATCCAATCTGAGCCTGAAGTCAGGCAATGATTTGAGGAACTTCAATCAATCATCTTTTTAGACAAACCTTTAAAGTCTGAGTTGAAGTTGGACTTGGGTTTGGGCTAGACGCGGTCAAATATTAATCCGACCCAAATCAAGCTAACAATTTCCTCGTGCAGGACATCTGGACCCTCTACAGTCTACCAGCCTTCGACAACGACTGTTACAACCCAAGTGTCGAGTATAATTTGCCCCGATTGACAGACTGTCGAGCTGCACTCGAACCGTACGCTCAATTGATTCAGCAAAAAGTTCGTCAGGCCCACGAAATAGCCGAGCAAAGCAGACAAGTCCAAGTACAGTTGAATGCGCCATTCCCTGCACAGAGTTGAGACGAGAAATCGAACCGCCGAACGAGCATTACCGCCAGCTCTTGTCGAAATTTAGTTGGATTACATCATTGTTGCAATACGATTGTCCTGAATATTTATGTCTTGGTCAACAACTTGAGCCCTCCCCGCCTGCTTCGCACCACCAAACCTTACGATGTCTTCAATATTCTCTCTCCGCGGGCTCTTTACCCGCCAGCCTGCTTCTACGACGCAAACGACTCGTCTTTTCTCTACCACAGCAAATATGCTTGCTCGCACACCTCCCAAGGCCGCGCCGAAGAGCCCCAATGCTGGCAAGGTCCCTCCTCGTCGAAAGCACGCAGCCCCGAAATCCGAAAACTTCTACCGCATCCGCACGCTCCGCCAAAATATGTTCTCTCCCGCTCCCCCTCCTCTACGAATGGCCCGTCTTCGATACCTCCGCCACTGGACTATTCACCGCGCTTGGCAGCTATACCGTCGACAGCAGCATCTAGCAACTGAGCAGGAACGCTCTCGCATCTTCAGCGGCATGTACAATGCCTGTGAAGAGCTGCGCAAAACAGTTGGACCCGGAAACAGAGACGAGGGCTACCTGTACCGTGTTGCTATGGAAAAGAAGGGTGTCTGGGGTCTTGACGCAATTCCCATTGAGTATGCGCGTTACCAAACAGACCACCCAGCTAAGAACGCATGGAACCACGACTGGAAGAGGAACAGCGACTAAAGCATGGTTTACAAAAAATGTATTTAGAAAAAAGTGTACTGTATGTATGATAAGGCAGCTGTCGAACGATAGTGGTTAGAAAGCCAATGTTTACGATTCCCATTAAGCCGAGGCAAGAAAACATAGGACGTTTATCCTAAGTGATGAAAATAACTGATCTAGAGGCCTCCTAAGTTCACAATAAATTTTCCTGAGTCTCTTCATCACTTAGGATAGAGATCCTAAGTTTACTTGCCCCCTGAGGCCACTCAATCCTTTCAAAGACGTCGTGAAAGGTAGTTATGTATGAACCACATTAAGTGCAAAGATCATCACTCTCATTAAGTATCAGGTCCGTAAACGACAGCACCAATCTCCCGTCATCTTAATCCATGTCATTGATTCACTCTCATCTTTCCAACGCTCGACAAAGCCAATTCTATGCCGCTGTTCCAATTATTAATACAGAGAGTGAATATGCGTATCTTAACCCGCTCGAACCAAATCATGCAATTGTCCTTCTTTCTGCCCATGCACCCTTGCCCCTCTCCGTTTTTTGTCTCTCCTCAGGATGCCAAGTATATAAAAGATGTTTCTGCAGTTCCGCTCAGATATTAAGAGTGTCAGGTCAGATGTAATGACCAGTAATCGAAACAGGTCCAAAATGTAGTTCCGGATCATAAGGAAAATGGTGAGTAGATGCGTATGGCTGGACGGTAGTCACTTTGTTGTGTCTGAGAAGACTCAATGAGCGAGTCTTTGCATGTTGATTGTCTGTTGAATAACAACGCCAGGAAGGAAACGTGATAAGTGAGGATGTCGGCATGCGGAATAGATAGATAGTAAATATGATCGGGTCGGCCGAAACGCCGAAATGTGATGCTGCCTTTAGCTTCAATTCCGTGATGATGAGTTTTGTGAGTGAGCGAGTGTAAAGTATAAAAAAGGAAGTTGTCCTCCTGGGGCGCCGAGCAATAAATCCTCTATATCCTAAATTGATTCCCTGATGATCCAAAATTCTACACTCGTCTCCAGATGTCTGAAGTGTCTTGATAGTGCGTCCGAGGCGAGCTGGTGTCGATCGTTTAAAGATAGACCTGGGACCAACTACAAGTTGTCCCTGGTATTGTATGTGAGCGTATCCAGGTGGTGTGGATGCTGGTTCGTTCGTAGGCGCATGGCTGACGGTTTACAGTACAACACAGCAACCGCCGCCCTCGCCCTTCTCAAAGGTCAGCAGAGCAGCACGAGTGGCAGCCTCAAACACGTCGTCGACGCCTTCGCCGCTCAAGCTGGAGCATTCTAGATATCGCTTTGCGCCAATTTCCCGAGCGATTGCCTCTCCATCATGTTCAGACACAAAACGCATCGACTTCTTGCGCATTTCTTCGATCGCGACGGGATCCTCTCGAAGATCCTTCTTAAGACCAACGAGAATAATGGGAACACCGGTGCACAGGCGGGTGGCTTCCTCAATCCACTGCAAGAGAAACACGTCAGCTTTCCAGGGTTCATCACTAAGCGCAGAGCGCATGCCGAAGGGGCCGTACCTTGTGCTTAACGTTGTCGAGGGAATCTGGGGTGTCGACGGAAAATCCTATCAGGATGACGTGGGCTTTTGAGTAGGCGAGCGGTCGTAATCGTTCGTAGTCTTCTTGGCCGGCGGTATCCCATAGAGCAAGCTGGACGGACTTGCCGTCTACTCTACAATCTGTCACATAGTTCTCAAAGACTGTGGGGATCTATATACGAGGTCAATATTCGTCGTCGCATAGGGGTTTCGGTCGAGGCTCACATAATGCTATAAGAAGGTTAGCAAGGTTTGATGACGATATGCAGATTTGAAGGACTCACTGTAGGAAAGTAACCTAGCGTAAATACGCTCAGCAAACTGGTCTTGCCGCAGGCACCATCACCGATAATGACCAACTTCCTACGGTACGTCGTTAGTGATCTGATTGATCATCAAATATCTTGAGTATGTCATGATTGGTGAGGCAGGGAGAAGTATTGTTGTAGGCTTGGTGGGAAGCGTGCTTGGGAGCGCGATGAAGTCGTACCTGCGGATAACGTTGGTAGGATTTGCGCTCATGATGATTGAGTTATATGGCCTCGAGGCTGCGTGATGATGACGTTTCGAGACTAATCGTAGTAGGGAATCGGATCCGGAGTCTGCTACGGGCCCCAGATCTGGGTGATGCGTCGGTTAATCGTTGCCGTCGATTGATTATGGGTGGAAGAGCAACGAGCTACAGCGATCAAGAGGGCGTCGTCGCAGTGATAACAACAGGAACAAGCTAAGCTAAGCCGAAAGGGATTGGATAGGCCTGGATTGAGTGATATGAAGGTGATGATGGTTAATTGGAGATTAAAGTCGGTTCGGTCAGAGAAATGTCGTCGAGATCTGGGATAGGACCCCTTATTTTTTTTTGCCAACGGACTTTTTGGTAAGAGGATCGTTGGATGGGTGAGTAAAGTAACAAGGGACGGCCGGACCTGAATGAGCGCGCGGACGTGGAGCGAGGAGGACAGGCCCAAATGGAACCAGCCAGGTCAGGACAAGCCGGGCCAGGTGCAGGCAGTACGTAAATACGGTGCTAGTATACGGTTCAGCCGCCAGGGTGTGTGTGCAGTGCTCTGCTGTATTTGCGTAGTGAGATGAGGGCGTTTTTAATGGTTAAAGTAATTGCTGGGACGAAGCGAGTTCCAGGGAACTGGTTGGATGAACAAGTTCTTCAAAGAATAGAATAGTCGAGAAATAAGAGAGAAGATAAAAGAATGATGTTGAACGGGTTGGGAATACGAGCCGAAGACTGACGGACAGGACTGATGATTGATTGACCGAGATGATAGGACAGTGAAGGACTGTAGTGAGATGGTGCTGTGCTTTTTTTGTCAGACCGGTTTCTTTAGCCTCAGTCTAAAATGGAGCTGAGGCGGATTGGGCTGGGCTGATATGCATCAGATTCTTGAAGATTGTGTAGAAAAGATGAAACGAGTCATTCAAGATGTTAAGGAATGAATAGATCGATAATCTGATACCAATTAAAGATATCTCCAAGCGTGTTAAGTTATACTATGGCTAGTAGATCTAAAGCTAGAGAGGCAGCCTCTTTTCTATTGTTGGAATAGCCGGGCTTGTTTACGACGGCGACGGTGGTCGCATCGGTGATGGTGGAGAGCCCGCGTTTCCATGGACTGCACTGTACTTACTGTACTGAGATGCTCCCCTGGACGGGCATGTGGAGCCTCGACGTAGAAAGCGGGTCCGGGGGACCTTTTTTAGCTGAGGGTGAGGTGAGGTCTAGTGGAGGACGACAGCCCTGAAAGTTCTCTAGTACGGGTTCTGTGACAGCTGGGCTGCTTGAGTGGACTGCGCATTATCACAAAGTGAGCTTCTACAGCATGAGTTGCTTCTTGTTGAATGCTACGACAAGTCTGTGGTTGTTGATCGACATGGATTAAGGTACATGATATGTGTCGGAGAATGGATCGTTACAGCGGCATCTTCTGACATTTTGACTACGAAGCTTCAGCAGCATCTGATTAGCATAGCCTATCCCATCATGAGTTGATGGACTTGCAGCAAACAGCAAGCCCCCCTGTGGCGGAGCATCCACAACTGTATATCCAAAACAAGTAATCGAATTGAAGCCAGCTCGGTTAATTGTGACATTCTCCGCTGTGTACCAGCTCAGTGGAAAGAATATGAATAACCATTTCTGGGTCGGTTGGAAACAAAATTGCAGTGCCGTTCCGCTTCGGTGTCCGTCATAAATCGTCACTGGAGATTCAATTAGGTAAACAGAAGTCAGTGGAGAGTTTCGTCGTCATGGAGCCTCTCAGCTCAACTCAAATCCGCCAAGCCGAGCCAAACTCACGGACCGTTCTGTCATCTTCAATGCTCATGTCTCCTTCAACGAATTAGCTGTCTGTGTTCTGTTTCTACATCGATAGCTTCCATAAACGACAGGGCTAAGGTGTCCCTCAATACGACAGTAACGACAGAATTCAGATCTAGACAAGCATATCAACAGATCCACATCAAAAGTGCCCTTGTCTTTACTCGGAGGATTAAATATTGGACTCTGAGATGCTCGTCATGCCAGCCAATCCCATCGCTGGGATGCAACAATGCATGGCCGCCGCCATTTGAGGCTGTGCAGCCTAACCCACATCCGCCAGCCGGTAAGCTAAAAACAGGAACCAAATCAGCCCTGGAGCCCTAGAAACCAAGGGGCAGGACGAACTACTGCTTCAGCACTGACGCTTATTGTCTGTTGTGCAGCGATGATGGAAAAGTCCCCTAGAAATAGAAATAGAAACTGAACCCTGGCTCGTGTCTCAAGACTTCATGCTATGCTACTGAGGGCATTGGATGAGATCAACTCGACCATTTTGCGGATGATCCCGTTAATGCGCTCCATCTTCTTGGCTCCCTCACGCTAACATGAGAATATGGATTCCGTGAGAAGGATTTCGGTGTTTGTGAGTTGCGCCGGCGGTCCGCATTGCTGACGTTCGTATGTCTGCAAACGCCCCTCCAAGGTTGTTTTCCTCTCTGACGTTAGTGTAGAAAAATTTCAATTCTCACCTGCGTGGATCCGTCATGACAGCATACTGTACGGGCATACCCGATGAGCTAGTTGGCCCGTCTCACTGTCTTTGTCTGCTTACGTCGAATGCAACAACGATGCCTCGTGGCCGATGTCACAGTAGGCGATAAACTCACTGCCCTACAAGGCTGCGGTGGTGTTTGTAGGTGATGCCACGATCCTTCGTCTCAATAATGCATGCATAGCTGTCAGCGTCTTGATGGCTGCTTGAGTCTTACCTGCATATTCCCTTCGTCTGGTGGGCAGAGATCGCATCCGTTTACCCTTCCGATCACCTCTGATTCAATGTGAGTGGTACTCCAGGCGGCGTTTGTACGGGCAGATTTCAGCATTTGAGAATCTTTCGTCCATGTATGGACAAATAGCCGAAACATGTTGCGTCGTCCTCTCCCGTCGATGCTGTCCTCCGTCGTTTGCAACATGCATAGACAAGGGGCAACACGGCATCGTCTCAATTTGGTATCCTGTCACACACATGGGTTTGCGCGCCGAGATGTATGTTGTAGTTTCGTTCCACACGGTCTCATCCAGCTGTTAAAATGAGAGATAGAGTCGAGTCTATGAGGTTTTCATGTGGTTCTTGCGCGATTGTGTTGAGCCATGTTCCATGTTACACGGCGTCGGCAGCCATCGTGGTGCCTGTGGATGACGAGTTTGGTGGTCAAATTTGCTCTGCACATCGGCATGGGATATGAAGATCCTAATTCGGGCCTGTTTCTTCTGATAGTGATCTGCCTTGGTGACTCCCCGGTAAGGTCATGTCTATGGAGTATTGATCGTCTCGCAAAGACGGAACGGGTGTTTTCCCACCGTTAATAACCAAGCCGTAGTCCGTTTGGCAAACAAGCATTGGTCCCTGTTACAGTGTTGTCATAAGATTGAAATACTGATTTGCTTAACCAATGTTAGGACTTTGCAAAGAAGTTAGGACCAGGAGTTTGGCTAAGTCCTGGAGTATTTTGAGTCACGAGACTAAAGTGATGCTTATCAGATGCACTTCACGATTGTTTTGTTACGCATACCCTGGAAACCTTTGATGCACAATTGAGTAACAGATAAGAGATAATGATGCTGCCTTTGGTTGAGAAATAAACAATAGGCGAATTGAGTCTTCAATGATTGCCAAACAAAGAATTGATTGTCTCTGTTGCTTCAACCCCAGGTTCAGGGTAGCCCCCAGACGAGTGACGTTGACATCAAGGTTGCTGTTTGTAACCCCACCCTCACCAAGGCACAAACAAACCAAATCGCCAGATCTCAACATCACGTGCAAGATCACACCAGGCTACACCAGGCTAGGGGAATAGCGGGGCACATCCCGTCAATCAGATGCGTGCCTGACCACATCACAGTGTCGCTGGGCAGGTTCGGCTGCATGAGAAAGTACAGGTGCTATGCAACTCCACCAAAGAGTGACTTCTACCGTCCCATCTTGTTTGAGCCTTGAGCCTTGAAGCATCAAGCAACACCAGACAAAGAACGTTACGACATTTCCGCACTCTTTTATCTTCAATCCGAAGTATCTATAAAACCCTCCGACTGCACTCTCGATTTTATAACAGCAGCAATAACAATCTACCCATTGGGCCCCTTCCCCGCAGGCGTCATCGCTGACCTAACCCTGAACTTGGCCGCTCGCTCTCCGACTGTGAGTGCCTCATTTTGAGCCGCCCCCAGAGACCCTCCACTTGCAACGTGCCCGCAACCGCCTAACGACCACGACTTCACCGTTTTGACACGCGCGATACCCTCCGCTTCTAAGCTGACACGCTCTCGCGTATTACAGAACCATATTCCTCATACACCGTCCTCCCATCGACAGACACGTGTCGCGCACAGCATCTTCATGCCCTCGACTGCTTTGCTCCCGTAACCTACGATGCCGGCCAATAACCAAAGACCGGCCGCCCAAACTCCGGTATCGCCACGAAATACGGCAAAATACACCAACAAGGATGGCTCGAAGTTTATCACCGTACCTAAGGGCGCTACCTCTGAGTCTTCACTGCCTTCGACCCCCACAACTGCTAAAGCCAGTGGCCCCCCACTAGAGGTTTCCAACCCCGACAATGACCCTGCTCCAACAGTCAACCGCAAGAAGCAGAAGCGTAGACAGAAGGCTGCTTTGAAAGCCGCTCAGCAAGCTGCGAATGGACATACCAACAATGTTGCGAGTAGTGGTGCAGGCACAGGTTCTACGTCAGGCCGTGGTCCCGCTGACCACGAAGAGGTCGAAAGCGACGATGAACACGAGTATATCCTGGCGAGCGAATTAACAGGCCCAAATACAAACGGGCACCCCCCTTCGGATTCCAAATCGAAGAAGAATCGAAAGAAGAAGAAGAAGGGAGGAAATGCCGATCCTGCATCACCAGTCCCCGAAACTCTTGAATCTGAGCCCCAATCGAACTTGTCGCAAGGCCCTGGAATGTCACGCGATAAGATATGGAGTACTAGCAATCAAGAAGAGCGCGAA